AAATATCCACATAATCAAAAACAAAGAAAAGTCTTATCTTCGGGTGTTGTGAAATATTCTTTTTCATTTGTGTTACACTGATGTCAAAACAAAACGTAGCAGTGTCTATTTTTTAAACAGCCTAAGTACTTGCACTTGAATGTATGCTTTCGGATAAGAAATTATATATTCTACATTCTGTGTAATTTTATAGGCATAGGTAGATCAAGGGCCACGTAAGCGCAATTCTCGCACAACCGTAACTTTTCAAACCTTATGAAAATGTGCGCCACAAAAAAACCTCGGCAACTCGGGTACATTATGGCTATAACAATCATGGTATCATTGGATGTTCTACTCCTCTACAGAAGCGAGAAGTAGAACTTACTTTTATCCTTACTTGAAATATGGGATCAGGTGATTTTATGTAAAATGGGAATAGGACAGTAATAACCCAGATTATCCGGGGTAATACTGATCAGATTGTATGTATGTTACAACTGCCTTTATTATTATGTTTTACAGATTATAAAAATCAGTATGCAACAGAGAGGGTTCTTTTGACCCTGACACAGTCAGTTTGGTAAGGCATGGCGAAGACAGTGGTAGAAACAACGAGTCATGCCATCATGTCGTTTAAGATATGCTGTTTGTGCCAAGGAAGGGCTTCCACTGACAAGGTGTTGGACATTCTCTGTAAATTCATTACACAATGGACATTTCATGCAAATAGTTTCTTTAAGAACCACATTTGGTGATTCTTTAAGCAAGTTTTATACTCGGCCCGAAGTTTGTCCAGAATTTTGGCATTCTGGAGCTTGTCTCGAACTTTCATTCCAAGATAGGTGTAGGCCTGATCTTCCACAAGATGCTCAATAACTCCTTCATCCCCATGTAACTTGACCGATCCATCATTAACTACCTTGCCACGTTTCAAATTTCAAATGAAGAATATTACATTGTCCAGTCCAAAGATCATGCCAATTTCTTTAGAAAAGGACTCGACAAGGAGAGCCTGCTCTTTCAAATTGGTATCTCCTTTGGCAAGGAGCTCAATGTCATCCATGTATAGGAGATGAGTAAGCGGTGTTGGGGATCTGCGCTGAGGAGGTGCGGGATGGTATCCCTCCTCTCTGTTGAGCAGAAAGCTCAAAGGATTTAGAGACAAACAAAAAAGCAAAGGACTGAAGGTGTCCCCCAGGAATATTACTCTTCCGAAGTCTGCACCTGCCCTTGGGAGTACATCTCAAGTTCACACAACGAGCAACGAGTTAAGTAAATCAAGTAGTCGCTCAGGGAGATCAATACAATGAAGAGACTTCAGAATCCATTCGTGAGGGACAGAGTCGTATGCCTCTTTGTATTTTTGTAGTCAATCCAGGACATGGATAGGTTGCGGTGCTATCTTTTAGCCTTAACCAAAATATTATTTTCTACAAGACGTTGATCCTTGCACCCCAACATCCCTTCCTTGCTCCCTTCTGCTCTCTATACATTATATCATTAGAAGAGCAGAAAGATGACACGAGGTTTGTCAAACACCCTGTGAATATTTTATATTGTGTATTCAAACATGTGATAGAGCGGAAGATTTGAGGATCAGCCAAGTCTCCATTCTTGGGAAGGAGTATTGTGCGACCTTTGCAGAACCAGGGAGGAACATCGCCTCTGTCCACGTGAGAGTTGAAACAGTAAAGTAATGGTGTTTGGACACAGAAGAACAGTTTCCAATACCGGTGTCGAATGCCATCAGGAGTTATATTAGATTTGGACTTTTTGATAACACTTTTCAGGCAGTTTGGTAACATGTAACAGACAAACGACCCAGCAATTTTTTTCATGCACTGCGTGATCCTAATCACGGACCCATGGTGCCTCAAGGTTACAGTCGCCGGGTACAGACCGCAATCGTTCCCAGAACCTTTGATTGGCGTCCATGAGAGGCCGTAAATTACGCTCAATATCACCTTTCGTTTTCAGTGAGTGTAAAAGTGCTTTTCATTATTTTTAAAGAGTTTGTTCTGCTTGAAAAACTTATTTTTATTTTCCCATGTCTTTTCTTTCTTTAAGTGCAAATCCTTAATTTTGCCTTGAGGGAATCAATATTTTACAGAAATATCTTGTCTTGCGTTGTTTTGTAATTCAGTTCTAATTTTCTCCAAATCGACTTTTGCCTTTTAGACATTTGATTCACTGATGATCTTAAAGTAAGGCACAGCTCAACCCATGAAATGTATTTTATAGTTTCGGTTAGTTTTACTTGAAATCGGTATTTCTTTGGTGTGTTATTCTTAGGATTAGATACTTTTTTCTTTGGAAACTGTGTGGAGTTCCTCCACAGTTCGAGCCGCAGCATAGACGCAATAATTAACTTCATATAATGAACAGTTTGCAGAAAGTTGTAAAGAAATAGAAATTATAGAATATATATATACGTAATTCAACTTCTTGATTGGGAAAAAAAATATTCAGCTGTTTAATTGGTCTCCGTTTATCTAAAGTTAAATCATTAATTTCCTAAAAATCAAATGAAACAAAAATATAAATTTAGGGCAAATTGACTCTGTGCCGGAAGAGTTTCCATCAGAAAGAGGTTGACGCGGACGTCCATTGGAAGTTTTGGGTCTGCTGCCACTTGAGCATTCTGCTCATGCAAAGGTTCCTGACGGTTCAACTGGCTCACGGTGCATGTAAGGCACCGGAATTGGTCCCGGAGATTTTGCTCCGTCAGGTAAGCATACATTGGCAAGGCATTTACCCAATGCAACTTTAGCGATTGCCATTCATGCGTGGATTTTCAGGCCATCCTGTCGCTTTTGCACACTCAAGTAGTGTGTGTTTAGTTGGTTTGACCAAGATATTCTTGATCGGGTTCTTCTCCCGTGGCAAGTACCATCTTCAGTATGATTGGTTTTACTACCGGAGGAAAGCTGACTGGGCAGTGGAGCTTCCTTGTTTGTTTATTTTTGTAACCAAGTGAAAAAACAGCTTCGGGGATCAGCCCTAAGGGGATGTATAATTAAATTCCCCTCTATAGGCCCACCACGGAGAGGCGTACATCACCGGGCCTGTTATCATTAACTCACAATGATAGTCAGCTGTCTACTTTTCTTGTTTTAATTGGACATGTTGTACTTTGAGACAGACAGTTGCTTCGATATGGACGGGGAGATAACATATCGATGAGTAAGCAGTACTTGAACTCTGTGAAACACAAGCCTTGTTGCCGATCGTCACGTACGTCTTGGACAGTTCAAGGCGTTCAGTTTCTTTACGCAATAACTACCCAGCACGAGTGCTTCAGTCCCTGAAGGACACCATGAGCTAAAGTTGAGTCGGTCTATTTAAGATAAAAGAATGCAAAAGACATATGTAACTCTGATTCTACAGTAACTATATTTTGGCCTGTTTAGAAGTGGCTATTGGGAATCTGAAGCTATCTTTAAAAAAGCAATTCAGTCAGTTTTCTTTTGTATTCAGGAAATGCAAAATATATACAGCAAAATCATGTTTTGTCCAATTTGCAGATTTTGAATCCATAACACAGTCTACACTGCGCAAGTAGAAGAGAACAAAAGAAAAGTAGCAGAGAACATGCAAATAGATTGAATTAGGTGTTACTGTCACAAAGCTAGACATCATTAAACGGTTTCTTTTCCTTTAATACATGAAAGTGTATTTTTAAAATTGAATATAAAGAAAGTAAAGAATCAAATAAATGAGCCGTTGGTTGGTCCTGAGTTCGAGTCGGCGGAAGTATTCTGTTATTCTGATCGACGGGCAAATTACAGTCGGTCAAGCGATGAGGAAAGCCGAAACACACACAGTGTTGCGTTAAACAATATATATTTTCAGCTCTAACTAACAAGCATCACTCTATTTTTGTTCTACCAGATCGTATTGAATATATTATCAATCAATATTCAGTAGCGTTCATTGTCAGGGGTGTTCACGCAGTCGTCAATTGGCTGGAGCTGAAGTCATATGAGTTTGACCTACAGGGCCTACGGGGAGCTCACATCAGTCAGCGCTGTTGCACTCAGGCAAAACTGGTTCCTGACTTCCGCGAAATGGTCGACCCTGTGGTAACTCCTGAATGGCTGTCAAGTCAAATAAAAGCTGGTAACAAAGATCTGAGAGTTTTCGATACAAGCATAGGACCTTCTGGACTATCTATAGAGGAGTTTAAAAGGTAACAGTCCAAAGGTAGCAGGTAACATTGAACACAATATTAAGCTCTGTTTCTCATTTTTACAGTCACTAAATGTCAGGCTCCGTTTTGGAGGTGCGACCGATGTTATGTTTCAGTAGACAGATGTAACATTAGACACTTGTTGTTCTTCGGCTACAAAGTATGAAACTTATAATATGACCAGATACATGTATATGTGAAAGCATATTTAATACGCATCTCTCTGGATTCTATCTATTTGTTTTGACAAAACTAACAATATGCTTCATGTTATGCATAGTATGTTTGATATGCGCACTATAAGCGATTTAATTAGAAAAACTTCGAATAATCACAAACGTACAATCACATGTATACAGCTTTACTTAGTTCTGCATGTATATGTCAGTTTTCTCTACCATTGATTATTAAATGTTTTACGCCTTTTCAATTTCACTTTCTAGTGAGCATATTGAAGGAGCCCAGTTTTTCAACATAGCGAACAATGCTTCCCGCACTCAGTATCTTCCTGTTGGGTTGCCAGATCCCTCTCTATTTCAAGATTATGTCAGATCTCTCGGCATTAACGCATCAAGTCACGTGATCCTGTACGAAAATGTTCAGCTTAATGGAATGGCAGCATCTCGAGGATGGTAGCAATATTCCAGCAATATCACGGCGGGGACACCAGTACAAGACGGCATTTGTCATGGATAGTACAAGCAGTCGCACAAACACGTGCATACACGTCAATCAGTAAAATCCTTTCGAACGCGACGTTTACCCCATTTAAACCGTGGTGTTCCAGATTCATAATCTTGCGTACCATTCTGAGGGACGTTCTATTATCTGAAATTTCAGTAGCATGTTTGGTCTCCAGGTATGTGATGACCACATTGTCCCTACAGTTATCTGTTATAACGAAAGTTTCAAAGGTAAAGTAGTTACTGGTTTGTTTCCACAGGTTCACGGTATAAAGAATGTGTCTGTTTTAAACGGGGGACTGTTCAGATGGAAGAAGGAGGGTTACCCAGTCACAGACAAGGAGGTCAACTCTGAGGTGGGTGCTCCGTTGGGAAACATCACGTAACTATGATTCAGACAATTAATGTCTATAACAAAGGAATTTTAATGTGAAAGAAATTTTCGTTGTGATGTAAAAACCCATATTGATTCAACAGACCGTATAAATATTTATAACTTATGTAGCCAAAATAGATATATGCTGATCATATTCCTAGAACGGTGACGTAACGGTCAGGTTGAACAAAAGCCTGGTAATGCTGTACGATGACATCAAACCCGGAGATGGCCGACAGTTCGTGGACACTCGACTACCCGACAATTTTGATGGCAAAGAGAAAGAACCATCACAAAGTACTTATAGTCACAAATTTTCAATACTACGTCTAGTTTGAACGGGTTTGAGGTTTACATATATGACACATATACATCTTAACCTTTTGTGCTTCGAAGTTAGTCATGATCAATATAGTCATTGCATACAGTTAAAACCGCCTCCGTGGTGTAGTGGTAAGAGCATCCGCCCGGAGAGCGGAAGGTCGTGGGTTCGATCCCCGACCGCGTCATACAAAAAGACGTTAAAATATGGTACTTTTTGGTCCCTGCCTGGCGCTCGGCATTAATGGGTACAACTAGGACTGGTCGGCTCGGAGTCAGTATAATGTGTCTGAGTGGGTATTCATGCTTCACTGCAGCATGGTATTTCAGTGCGCTAGCACTATAAAACCAGCTTAAGTCTGGGCTAGTACGAGCAGCCGCACATACACATACACACGCATGCACGTCGTCATATGAGCGAAATATTCTCAAGCACGACGTTAAACCCAATTACGACTCACTCCTCATAGTGTACAAGTACTGCTTACTAATCGATATGTTATCTCCCATTGACAAAGAGAGGGTTGGGAAGGTATTGATGAAACACACAGGACGAGAATTAGTCACCTATAAAAAGAATGAAAAATATTCGTCCTTCAGATTGTAATTTTAATGGTCATGAAGTACAAAACGAAATATATACCAGGCATCGATCCACAAACGGAAATGTTGATAGATTAAATTATAAAAGGCTCTGTGATTCAGTTTTTATAACAGTATTTAATGTTCAATACAGTGCAGACATTCTGCATGGATTATGTCGGACTCAAGTCAGAAGGCCTGACGTTTCAAACCGGACACATTCCTGGGGCCGTCAACATCTCTTACCCAGCCCTGTACGAGGACGACACCATCTCCCTCAAAGGGAAGGACCAACTTCTAGGATGTGAGTTACCATGGAGAAACTACTACTCGCAGTTAAGATGGTCTTGACGATTGCAACTGGTTTAGCCTTTTAGGTGAACAATTGACATGCTTTTACGTGTGTTTGTGACGGATGTCACCGATGGGACAGGAAACGTTGATGGACGTCTAGGATGTTTGTTAACATAGAGCAGATAGTACTCGTAGTCTAGATGGTCTGGAGATTGCAAACTTTTCAGGTGAACAATTGACATGCTTTTCGCATGTTTGTGACGAGTGTCACAGTTTTTGCGTTCACAAGTATCATGACTTTTGATACTGATTCATAACACATGTTTATAACAAAGTCAGATCTAGTCGCAATCCTACGGAAATTTGGTATCAACATGGAAAGGGTTTGATTCTCCTAACATTATGTACAGAAGGTATTTGTATTATTTTAGTATTTGGGATCATATGTTTTAAACGATTCACAATGATGCAATATAAAGAAATATTAGTATTCTCGAAAAAAGTCCAGAACAAAATCGAGCTTGCGATCTCGTCTAAAAGTAGGCATTGAACGTTCATGCTAAGACCTTTTTCATCCTAAAACTGAAATGATCGTGCTATTTTTAACTTCACTGGTTGTTTCTACATAGAAATCATAACTAAAGAAGAAGATGTGCAGAAGGGATATCTTTTGTGACGTATTTAAGTCACCTGTCGCTGTAGGTATTCTAGCCTTTGTGTATTTCTCGATGACGTTCTTTTAACCACAAACTTCAATCAATCAATCAATCAATCACATTCACATGTACATTTTCAATCTGTACATGTATATGTATATGTACATCCATATAAGTAGTAGAATGTGTCCTGTTGTCCAGTGTTTCAGTCAGTAGGGGTCAAGATGAACCAACCCATGACCTCAACCTGTTACGTGGGTTTCACAGCCTGTACACTCGCCTTGGCTGCCTCTGTGTGTGGGAAGGATGACGTCAGCGTCTACTGTGTGAGTACAATCCATTCTCGGTAGATTGTACTGGCATTCCAAACATTAATCTGTTTATGTTTATGTCCAATGTGTAACCTTTAATCTTTTTTTATACTTCAGTGAGTGACTTTAGTTTTACGCCGCATTCAGCAATATTCCAGCTACATGGCGGCGGTTTATATTTCAAATTACCCTACATTTACTATTTCACGTTTTGTCGAGTTTTATAATCTAAGCATAAACATGGGATGTTTGAAGGGTTCCTGGACGGAGTACGGACAAAGGGCTTCTGCCGTGGAAGTGGAGTGCAAACAGTGATCAAAAAGATGCCCAGTGACTATAATCAACCAACATCTTTGGACCTGGGAATCTGCTTCTGCTTTGTAGTATTGAAATCGAAGAAAGGCTGATCATGAGCTTCATTGTCCAACCTCGTTTCGTCGTTATTTATTCCAGCCCTCAGATTGAAATTACTCTCATTTAGTGCTTAACATTCAATGCGTTTATTGAAACCATTCACACTTACTTTCAGTTCATTCTTTTTTATGTTTGCTTACGTCACTTCCAGTTATGTTAATTCCAATGACGTCATGTGTCTACTTCTGATTACGTCATCATTTGTTCATCCATTGATTTTTTAGATTCACACAGTTAGTCTATCCTCTTTGTATCCTGCATTAAGTTATATTTTCGCTTCCCTCCCACCCTTCCCTTGCCAGCCATCTCTTTCTTCTTTCTGTTTCCAGATTGTACATTATTGGCAAAGGGCTTGTAATGTCTGTGTATATATGCCTATGTCAATAAATGTTAGGGGTGGCCTGGATCTTGTGGGCTGCAATCATTAATACTTAGGCAATATTCAAAATTATGGCAGGACGGCTCTTCAGCCGGAATCTGTTTAACCCTTCTGCTTCTCAGCGGATAGGAATCTTTGGCTTTGCCTTATTATTGTCTGCTTTTCAGCAGAAATGCGATTGCTCTATTTGCTGCTGGCAACATTGTTGCCCATTGCTGCTGCTGGCAACATTGTTGCCCATTGCTGCTGCTGCTGCTGCTGGCAACTGTAGTTGCCCATCCTAACATACTCATTGTTTATTAGGGCAGCCCACAGATCAGCCTCACCTCTGACCTTGAACCCAATATTCTCTTGTTGTTATCTTTTAATGCTTTCCTTCTCAAGGCATATATATGTATCTTCTTGCCGAAGGATGTGTTTCAATAAACTCACGGTCATTTAGTAAAAAGCTGTAAACAAAACAAAGGTCTGAATTACAATGAAGTTCCATAAAATCCTATGTCCTATTTCGCATATCATAGATCATATAAAATCCTATATCCTATTTCAAAGTGATTTGACAAGTCCTATACCTTATAACATGAACCAGATAGGATAATATACAAAATAAGACTTCAGTAATTGATACAGGTTGAAAAGTGAAATATATCCTAAGTACAAACCTCATTTTACAATAACATAAATTGACGAAATTTAAAAGGTTCGTTTCCATCAAATTTATCTCCATTGTAGCCCAGGTAAAACACACAAATCAACTACATGTATATTTCTTCACATAGATAAAATCACTTTACACTAAAATACTCTATATGTAAGAAGTAGAGAGTAGTTACACCTTAGTTGTCCTATATTTTCCGATGCAATCGGATTGCCTATTATATCCTCATTTTTCTTTTTACTGCACATAAAATATGGCCGGAGCCGCTGGCTTGCAAAAATGCCAAGGGGGATCACTCTCAACCTCCAACGATATAATAAACCCGCTATAAAAAATATGCTTTTTTGAGGAACATAATTAAAGGGCGATAATCTACTACTGCTACTGATGTAACATTACATTGGATTTTAAACAGCTGTCATCTTCCCTAGTCAAAGGATTTAACTAACGGCCGAAAAAACTCCGTCGTTAATGCATCAGTGTATAGTATGATAATCAACTGTTGTTAGGAATAGTGTGTCTGTGCGTGGACTCAATGTGATAGAAGGAGTCCCAGGCGGAATCTGTTTGACGTTGTCATGGTAATGTTATACATTTCAAATACAGACTATGTTCCGTTCTTCATACATGACATTGCGTATGCTACTGAAATTTCAAATAGTTGTGTCAAGGGAGTCCATTTGGCCATGAAGGCGACTTATTGTTCAGGCAAACATGCTCCTATTTCCAACCATGTTCTCTAACTGCTGCTACAATGGTCACACGGCATCCCAGTCAATACGTGGTATGTATTAGTATCTCTGTTAGACGGTTAATAGTGTATTAAGCGAGTATATGTACTTCTAATCGTTACAGTTTTCATGATGTTTTGATGAAATTAAAATGATATGTAATAAACCATGCTCCGTACTATGCATGTAAATTTCCTATGCCTATGGTTTAACGCCGCCTTTAGCAATATTCCAGCAATATCACGGCGGGGACACCAGAAATGGCCGAGCAGCAGTACAACCCGGCATTTGTCCTGGATAGTACAAGCAGTCGCATAAAAACGTGCATACACGTCGATCAGTAAATTCTTGAACACGACGTTTACCCCATTTCAACGGTGGTGCTTTTCAACATTAAGTTCCAGATTCATAATCTTGCGTGCCATTCTGAGGGACGTTCTATTATCTGAAATTTCAGTTGCATGTTTGGTCTCCAGGAATGTGATGACCACATTGTCCCTACAGTTATCTGTTATAACGAAAGTTTCAAAGGTAAAGTAGTTACTGGTTTGTTTCCACAGGTTCACGGTATAAGGAATGTGTCTGTTTTAAACGGGGGACTGGTCAGATGGAAGAAGGAGGGTTACCCAGTCACAGACAAGGAGGTCAACTATGAGGTGGGTGCTCCGTTGGGAAACATCACGTAACTATGATTCAGACAATTAATAACTTTAACAAAGGAATTTTAATGTGAAAGAAATTTTCGTTGTGATGTAAATGTGGAAAAAAACCATATTGATTCAACAGACCGTATAAATATTTATAACTTATGTAGCCAAAATAGATATATGCTGATCATATTCCCTAGAACGGTGACGTAACGGTCAGGTTGAACAAAAGCATGGTAATGCTGTACGATGACATCAAACCCGGAGATGGCCGACAATTCGTGGACACTCGACTACCCGACAATTTTGATGGCAAAGAGAAAGAGCCATCAAAAAGTACTTATAGTCACAAATTTTCAATACTACGTCTAGTTTGAACAGCGTTAGAATCTGAGGTTTAAATATATGACACATATACATCTTAAACTTTTGTGCTTCGAAATTAGTCATGATCAATATAGTCATTACATACTGTTAAAACCGCCTCCGTGGTGTAGTGGTTAGAGCGTCCGCCCGGAGAGGGAAGGTCGCGGGTTCGATCCCCGACCGCGTCATACCAAAAGACGTTAAAATATGGTACTTTTTGGTCCCTGTCTGGCGCTCGGCATTATTGGGTACAACAAGGACTGGTCGGCTCGGAGTCAGTATAATGTGTCTGAGTGGGGTATTCATGCTTCACTGCGGCATGGTATCTCAGTGGTCTAGCACTATAAAACCAGCTTAAGTCTTGGCTAGTACAAGCAGCCGCACATACACATACACACGCATGCACGTCGTCATATGAGCGAAATATTCTCAAGCACGACGTTAAACCTAATTTCACCTCACCTCACCTCACATACTACCGTTAAACTTTCACAGTCAATACATATACACAGTGTCCCACAGTGTCCAAATAGCAGAATATAGCTATTACATACCGTTAACCTTTCACAGTGTCCAAATAACAGAAAAAAAATGAATAATACAGATTTCATGTTGATAGATTAAATTATAAAGGGCTCTGTGATTCAGGTTTTTATAACAGTATTTAATGTTCAATACAGTGCAGACATTCTGCATGGATTATGTCGGAGTCAAGTCAGAAGGCCTGACGTTTCAAACCGGGCACATTCCCGGGGCCGTCAACATCTCCTACCCAGCTCTGTATGAGGACGACACCATCTCCCTCAAAGGGAAGGACCAACTTCTAGGATGTGAGTTACCATGGAGAAATGATTACTTGTAGTCTAGTTCCTCTTGACTATTGCAACTGTTTTAGCCTTTTAGGTGAAGAATTGACATGCTTTTACGTGTGTTTGTGACGGATGTCACCGATAGGACAGGAAACGTTGATGGACGTCTAGGATGTTTGTTAACATAGAGCAGATAGTACTCGTAGTCTAGATGGTCTGGAGATTGCAACTTTTTCAGGTGAACAATTGACATGCTTTCGCGTGTTTGTGACGAGTGTCACAGTTTTTGCGTTCACAAGTATCATGACTGTTTGATATTGATTCATAACACAGGTTTATAACAAGTCAGATCTAGTCGCAATCCTACAATCAATTGATTAAAAACGGAAATTTGGTATCAACATGGAAAGGGTTTGTCCTTTATATTCTCCTAACATTATGTACAAAAGGTATTTGTATTATTGTAGTATATTTTGGATCATATGTTTTAAACGATTCACAATGCAATATAAAGAATTATTAGTATTCAAGAAAAAAGTCCAGAACAAAATCAAGCTTGCGATCTCGTCTAAAAGTAGGCATTGAACGTTCATGCTAAGACCTTTTTCATCCTAAAACGGAAATGATCGTGCTATTTTTAACTTCACTGGTTGTTTCTACATAGAAATCATAATAGAAAAAGGGATATCTATTGTGACGTGTTTAAGTCACCTGCCGCTGTAGGTATTCTAGCCTTTGTGTATTTCTCGATGACTTTCTTTTAACCACAAACTTCAATCCATCCATCAACCAATCAATCAATCAATCACATTCTCACATTCACATGTGCATTTTCAATCTGTACATGTATATGTATATGTACATCCATACAAGTAGTAGAATGTGTCCTGTTGTCCAGTGTTTCAGTCAGTAGGGGTCAAGATGAACCAGTCTATGACGTCAACCTGTTACGTGGGTTTCACAGCCTGTACACTCGCCTTGGCTGCCTCTGTGTGTGGGAAGGATGACGTCAGCGTCTACTGTGTGAGTACAATCCATTATCGGTAGATTGTACTGGCATTCCAAACATTAATCTGTTTATGTTTATGTCCAATGAGTAATCTTTAATCTTTTTTTATATTTCAGTGAGTGTGTGAGTGACTTTAGCTTTACGCCGCATTCAGCAATATTCCAGCTACATGGCGGCGGTTTATATTTCAAATTACCCTACATTTACTATTTCACGTTTTGTCGAGTTTTATCATCTAAGCATAAACATGGGATGTTTGAAGGGTTCCTGGACGGAGTACGGACAAAGGGCTTCTGCCGTCGAAGTGGAGAGCAACAAACAGTGATCAAAAAGATGCCCAGTGACTATAATCATCCAACATCTTTGGGCCTGGGAATCTGCTTCTGCTTTGTAGTATTGAAATCGAAGAGAGTCTGATCATGAGCTTCATTGTCCAACCTCGTTTCGTCGTTATTTATTACAGTCCTCAGATTGAAATTACTCTCATTTAGTGCTTAACACTCAATGCATTTATTGAAACCATTCACACTTACTTTCAGTTCATTCTTCCCGCTCTTTTATGTTTGCTTACGTAACTTCCAGTTATGTTAATTCCAATGACGTCATGTGTCTACTTCTGATTACGTCATCTTTTGTTCATCCATTGATTTTTTAGATTCGCACAGTTAGTCTATCCTCTTTGTATCCTGCATTAAGTTATATTTTCGCTTCCCTCCCACCCTTCCCTTGCCAGCCATCTCTTTCTTCTTTCTGTTTCCAGATTGTACATTATTGGCAAAGGGCTTGTAATGTCTGTGTATATATGCCTATGTCAATAAATGTTAGGGGTGGCCTGGATGTTGTGGGCTCAATCATTAATACTTAGGCAATATTCAAATTTATGGCAGGACGGCTCTTCAGCCGGAATCTGTTTAACCTTTCTGCTTCTCAGCGGATAGGAATCTTTTGGCTTTGCCTTATTATTGTCTGCTTTTCTGCAGAAATGCGATTGCTCTATTTGCTGCTGGCAACATTGTTGCCCATTGCTGCTGCTGGCAACTGTAGTTGCCCATCCTAACTGTAGTTGCCCATCCTAACATACTCATTGTTTATTAGGGCAGCCCACAGATCAGCCTCACCTCTGACCTTGAACCCAATATTCTCTTGTTGTTATCTTTTAATGCTTTCCTTCTCAAGGCATATATATGTATCTTCTTGCCGAAGGATGTGTTTCAATAAACTCACGTTCATTTAGTAAAAAGCTGTAAACAAAACAAAGGTCTGAATTACAATGAAGTTCCATAAAATCCTATGTCCTATTTCGCATATCATAGATCATATAAAATCCTATATCCTATTTCAAAGTGATTTGACAAGTCCTATACCTTATAACATGAACCAGATAGGATAATATACAAAATAAGACTTCAGTAATTGATACAGGTTGAAAAGTGAAATATATCCTAAGTACAAACCTCATTTTACAATAACATAAATTGACGAAATTTAAAAGGTTCGTTTCCATCAAATTTATCTCCATTGTAGCCCAGGTAAAACACACAAATCAACTACATGTATATTTCTTCACATAGATAAAATCACTTTACACTAAAATACTCTATATGTAAGAAGTAGAGAGTAGTTACACCTTAGTTGTCCTATATTTTCCGATGCAATCGGATTGCCTATTATATCCTCATATTTCTTTTACTGCACGGCTGGAGCCGCTGGCTTGCAAAAATGCCAAGGGGATCACTCTCAACCTCCAACGATATAATAAACCCGCTATAAAAAATATGCTTTTTTGAAGAACATAATCAAAGGGCGATAATCTACTACTGCTACTGATGTAACATTACATTGGATTTTAAACAGCTGTCATCTTCCCTAGTCAAAGGATTTAACTAACGGCCGAAAAAACTCCGTCGTTAATGCATCAGTGTATAGTATGATAATCAACTGTTGTTAGGAATAGTGTGTCTGTGCGTGGACTCAATGTGATAGAAGGAGTCCCAGGCGGAATCTGTTTGACGTTGTCATGGTAATGTTACAAGTATACATTTCAAATACAGACTGTTCCGTTCTTCATACATGACATTGCGTATGCTACTGAAATTTCAAATAGTTGTGTCAAGGGAGTCCATTTAGGCCATGAAGGCGACTTATTGTTCAGGCAAACATGCTCCTATTTCCAACCATGTTCTCTAACTGCTGCTACAATGGTCACACGGCATCCCAGTCAATACGTGGTATGTATTAGTATCTCTGTTAGACGGTTAATAGTGTATTAAGCGAGTATATGTACTTCTAATCGTTACAGTTTTCATGATGTTTTGATGTTTGTGTTGATGAAATTAAAATGATATGTAATAAACCATGCTCCGTACTATGCATGTAAATTTCCGTTTGTGGATATGCCTGGTATATATTTCGTTTTGTACTTCATGACCATTAAATTACAATCTGAAGGACGAATGGTTTTCTTTCTTTTTTATAGGTAACTAATTCACGTCCTGTTTTTTTTCATCAATACCTTCCCAGCCCTCTTTGTCATCGGGAGATAACATATCGATGAGTGAACAGTACTTGTACACTATGAGGAGTGAGGTAAACTTGGGTTTAACGTCGTGCTTGAGAATATTTCGCTCCTATGACGACGTGCATGCTTGTGTATGTGTATGTGCGGCTGCTTGTACTAGCCCAGACTTAAGCTGGTTTTATAGTGCTAGCGCACTGAAATACCATGCCGCAGTGAAGCATGAATACCCCACTCAGACACATTATACTGACTCCGAGCCGACCAGTCCTTCTTGTACCCATTTATGCCGAGCGCCAGGCAGGGACCAACAAGTACCATATTTTAACGTCTTTTGGTATGACGCGGTCGGGGATCGAACCCGCGACCTTCCGCTCTCGGTGCGGACGCTCTAACCATTACACCACGGAGGCGGTCTTGTACACTATGAATCACGAGCCTTGTTGCCGATCGTCACGTACATATTTGACAGTTCAAGGCGTTCATTTTCTTTAGGCAGTAACTACCCAGCACGAGTGCTTCGGTCCCTAGAGGCCCTAAGTTGAGTCGGTCTGTCTAAGATGAAAGAAGACAAAATCTCTGTTACTTTGATTCCACAGTAATATTATTTTGGCCTGGGAAATCTGCACCTGTCTAAAAAACTAATTTATTCAGTTTTCTTTTGTATTCAGGAAATACAAAATATATACAGCAAAATCATGTGTTGTCCAATTTGCAGATTTTGAATCCATAACACAGGCTGCACTGCGCAAGTAGAAGAGAACAAAAGAGAAAAGCATCAGAGAACATCTTAATAGATTAAATCAGGTGTTACGGTTACAAAGTGAGACATCTGTATCATTAGTCGGTCTCAGTCCCTGAACCACATTATTTTTCCTTTACAGCCTGGCAGTCCTCCCTGTTTAAATGCAAAAATTATATATATATATCTCCTGCTCAAACAAAATTACATTCTACTCGGTCGGGCGATGAATGAGCAGCACATGAGTTCGAAATACACTTTCTGGTCGACGGACAAAAATACACACTGTTGCCCTAAACAATATATAGTTTTCAGTTTGAACTAACAAGTATCACTGTTAAGTCTCATATTTTTTCTACCAGGTGATATTGAACATATATCGATCAATATTCAGTAGCGTTCATTGTCAGGAGTGTTTACACAGTCGTCAACTGGCTTGAGCTGCAGTCGTGTGAGTTTGACCTACTGACCGAAATTACTCCGCGGGGAGCTCACGACATCAGTCAGCGCTGAACATTGCACTCAAAGTCCGACTTCAGCGAAATGGTCGACCCTGTGGTAACTCCTGAATGGCTCTCAAGTCAAATAAAAGCTGGCAACAAAGACCTGAGAGTTTTGGATACAAGCATAGGACCTTCTGGACCATCAATAGATGAGTTTAAAAGGTAACAGCATGTGCCTTGAACACAATGTTAAGCTGTATTTCTCCGTTTTACAAAGTCACTAAATGTCAGGCTGCGTTTTGGAGGTGCGACCGATGTTACGTTTCAGTAGGCTAAATGTGTTTCTGATTCATCATTCAGGTTTAACATTAGACAATTGTTGTACATCGGCTACAAGGTATGAAACTGATAATATGACCAGATACATGTATATTTGAAAGCATTTTTAATAAGCATATGTCTGGATTTGATCTATTTGTTTTGACAAAACTAACAATATGCTGCATGTTATGAACAGTAGGTTTGAAATGGTACACACATTATAAAAGATTTAACTGGAATAATCATAACGTACAGCTTTGCTTCTTCAGCATGTATATATGTCTTGTCTACAATATATTATTTAATTTTTACGCCTTTTCAATTTTATTTTCCAGTGAGCATATAGAAGGAGCCCAGCTTGTGAACATAGTGAAGAATGCTCCCCACACTCAGTATCTTCCTGTTGGGTTACCAGATCCCTCCGTATTTCAAGATTATGTCAGATCTCTCGGCATTAACGCATCAAGTCACGTGATCCTGTACGAAAATGTTCAGCTTAATGGAATGGCAGCATCTCGGGGATGGTGGCTGTTTAGAGTAAAGTACTTTTCTCTATTTACTAGTATGACCTTTCTTTCAAGGCCAGGTCATAAGTTCTCCGGCATTTTAATCTCCAAACAGGCATCCTCTTCACGTTGGTATTTAAGACACTGCAAACTGATTGTCCCTACAGCTACATGTTATAACGAATGTGTCGCTAGGAATTTGATGACCGCATTGTCCTTACAGCTACCTGTTATAACGAATGTGTCGCTAGGAATGTGATGACCATATTGTCCCTACAGCTACATGTTGTAACGAATGTGTCACTAGGAATGTGAAAACCACATTGTCCCTACAGCTACATGTTGTAACGAATGTGTCGCTAGGAATGTGATGACCACATTGTCCCTACAGCTACATGTTGTAACGAATGTGTCGCTAGGAATGTAATAGCTACACTGTCCCTACAGCTACATGTTGTAAGGAATGTGTCGCTAGGAATGTGATGACCACATTGTCCCTACAGCTACATGTTGTAACGAATGTGTCGCTAGGAATGTGATGGCTACATTGTCCCTACAGCTACATGTTGTAACGAATGTGTCGCTAGGAATGTGATGGCTACATTGTCCCTACAGCTATATGTTGTAACGAATGTGTCGCTAGGAATGTGATGGCTGCATTGTCCCTACAGCCACATTGTTGTAACGAATGTGTCGCTAGGAATGTGATGACCACATTGTACGTTATAACGAATGTGTCGCTAGGAATGTGATGGCTGCATTGTCCCTACAGCTACATGTTGTAACGAATGTGTCGCTAGGAATGTGATGGCTACATTGTCCCTACAGCTACATGTTGTAACGAATGTGTCGCTAGGAATGTGATGGCTACATTGTCCCTACAGCTACATGTTGTAAGGAATGTGTCGCTAGGAATGTGATGGCTACATTACCCCTACAGCTACATGTTATAACGAATGTGTCGCTAGGAATGCGATGATGTTCCAGGTTCATAATCTAGCGTGCCATTCTGAGGGACGTTCTATTATCTGAAATTTTAGTGGCATGTATGCTCTCTAGAATGTGATGGCTAGATTGTCCCTACAATTAAAAGTAATAAGGAAAGTTTTGTTGGTAAAGTAGTTACTATTTTGTCTCAACAGGTTCACGGTATAACGAATGTGTCTGTTTTAAACGGGGGACTGGTCAGATGGAAGAAGGAAGGTTACCCAGTCACAGATAAGGAGGTCAAGTATGAGGTGAGTGCTCAGTTGGAAAACTTCATGCCACTAATATTCAGACAATAAATGTCTTTAACAAAGAAGTTTTGATATGAAAGACATTTCATTGTGATGCAAATGTGAAAAACCCATCTTGCGTCAACAGACCTTGTAAATATTTATAACCCATGTCAGCCAAAATGGATATATGCTGGTAATATTTCCCAGAACGGTGACGTAACGGTCAAGTTCAACAAAAGCCTGGTAATGCTGTACGATGACATCAAACCCGGAGATGGCCGACAGTTCGTGGACACTCGACACCCCGACAATTTTGATGGCAAAGAGAAAGAACCCTCAAAATGTAATTATATTCACAAATTACGTGTGATATAAACAGAGACGTTCAAATATATGATGACACACACATACACATTTTGAAGATTTGTTAACGTGTGCATCGAAATGACCCAAGATCAATATAACTGAACATCCATTACATACCGTTAAACTTCCAAATAACAGAAAACCTGAATGATACAATTTTCATGTCAATGGATTTTGTAGGAGTTCGGAGATTCAATGCTTCATAACAGTATTTAATCTACCTACAGTTCAGACTTTCTGCATGGATTATGTGGGACTGAAGTCAGAAGGTCTGACGTTTCAAACCGGGCACATTCCCGGGGCCGTCAACATCTTCTACTCGACACTGTACGAGGACGACACCATCTCCCTCAAAGGGAAGGACCAACTTCTAGGATGTGAGTTACCATGGAGAAATTATTACTCGCAGTTAAGGTGGTCTTGTAGATTGCAACTGTTTAGGTGAACAATTGATATGCCTTTGCGTGTGGAAACTTTGTGACGAGTGAGGGTAATGTAACTCTCCATTCAGGAAAGTTTACTTTTTTCGCGTTCACAAGTATCATGACTGTTTGATATTGATTCATAACACATGTTTATAACAAGTCAGATCAAGTCGCAATCCTACAATCAACTGATTAAAAACGGAAATTTCTTATCAACATGGAAAGGGTTTGCCGTTTATATTCTCCTAACATTATGTACAAAAGGTATTTGTATTCTCTTAGTATTTGGGATCATAAGATTTAAACGATTCACAATGCAATATAAAGAAATAGTAGTATCACAAAAAAGTCCAGAAAATAATTTGAGCTTGTGATCTCGCCGAAAGGTAGACATTGAACGTTCATGCTAAGACCTTTTTCATCCTGAAACTGAAATAATCGTTCTATTTTTAACTTCACGGTTTGTTTCTGCATAGAAATCACAACTGATCGTTAAGTAGCCGTGAAACGGTTTGCTCTTACCACGGTACGGTACAAAAGCCTTCTGTTCGGTACATGAGATATGATCATATCTAGGTAGATTTTGACAAAATGATTCGATATCAAGACATTTTGAAAAGGGTTTTGAAAGGTTAATAAAATGACGGTACGAAAACCGAAAATACCGAATGTTTGGATTGCATTACGGTATACCGAACCGAGGCAAAATACCGCAGTTCTACAAATACCGCGGTAGACCGTTTCACCCCTATCGTTAAGGGCAGTGTGCAGAAAGGGATATCTATTGTGACGTATTTAAGTCACGCGTCACTGTAGGTATTCTAGCCTATGTGTATTTCTCGATTACTTTCTTTAACACATGCTTCAATCGGTCAATAATATTCTCACATTCACATGTACATTGTCCATCTCTACATGTCACCTGTCGCTGTAGGTATTCTAGCATTTGTGTATTTCTCGATGACTTTCTTTAACACATGCTTCAATCGGTCAATAATATTCTCACATTCACATGTACATTTTCAATCTATACATGTATATGTACATCCATACAAGTAGTAGAATGTGTCCTGTTGTCCAGTGTTTCAGTCAGTGGGGGTCAAGATGGACCAACCTATGACGACAACCTGTTACGTGGGTTTCACAGCCTGTACACTCGCCTTGGCTGCCTCTGTGTGTGGGAAGGATGACGTCAGCGTCTACTATGTGAGTATAATCCATTCTCGGTAGATTGTACTGGCATTCCAAACATTTACCTGTTTGTGTTTATGTCTAATGAGTATTCTTGAATCTTTTTCATATTTCAAATTATCCTAGTTGTACTTCTTCACGTTTGTCGAGCTGTATAATCTAAGCAGATATATTGAATGTTTGAAGGGTTCCTGGACGGAGTACGGACAAAAAGCTTCTTCCGCCGAAGTGGAGAGCAGCAAACTGTGATCAAAACGTGCCCAGTGACTATAATCATCCAACGTCTTTGGACCTGGAAATCTGCTTCTGATTTGTAGCAGTGGCGGATCCAGGGTGGGGATGATCAGGGGTTTCCAGGGGGTTCAGTGAAAATGACTTAAGATCAAATTGAAGATTTTTTTTGGCGTTGGCGGAGCCAATGGAGGGGTGTTCGAACCCCCTGAACCCCCTCCTTTCAAATTCCTGGATCCGCCCATGTGTAGTGTTGCAATCGAAGAAAATCTGATGATGAGCTTCATGTTTCAACTTAGACAGTTTCCTCTGATTCTGACTGTTTAACAGTCGTCGTCTTCCCAAAGCAAGTGAGTCAACTAACGGCCAAAATAGCTCCGAATTTCGTAGCTCGATTGTAGCGCCACGGGCGGCTGTTATTGATTATGTCTCTTCTATGTTTTCCAATCAGATTCGAACGTTTTTATTTGACTAATAGCATGAAAAGTTTTGAAAGAGAGAGAGAGAGGAGGGGGGGTGGAGAGAGTCGTCATGTTGTTTGTGAACTGTATATCGATTTCTTTACCCGATTTTTTGGTTCGACTATTCATTGTCAAGCCCCAAAATACATCCTCAATTCCAAACTACAGTTCGGCAAACTGGACTTTATGGCTCAATTATCTCCTTTGTCTCGGGAAAATGAAGCGTTACATTATGAACAAAGCGTTGATTTGAAGTCAGCAGTTCTGTAATTACATCCATGACATATGTGTTTTTCTGTGCTTTATACGTAATTGGTTGTGACTCGTAAACATTTACTTGTGGTAAATTTAGAATCATACAGTTGACTCTTTCCTTGATCATGGAAATGGTTTTGTCTCTTTAATGTACATCAATGTCAGTTGACGCTAAAGCATCAGTGTATGATAATCAACTGTTGTTAGGCATAGTGTGTCTGTGCATAGACTCATTGTGATAGGAGTCCCAGACGAAATGTGTTTGACGTTGTCATGGTAATTTTATAAAACACATTTCAAGTACAGACTCCGTTCCGTCGGGCTTTGTTCTTCACACGTGGTTTTGTGTATGTTACTGAACTTCTGTTACTGATAGTTCTGTCAAGGGAGACCAGTTAGGTGCTGAAAGCGACTTATTGTTCGGACACACATGCTCCTATTTCCAACCATGTTCTCTAAATGCTGCTACAATGGTCACACAGCATCCCAGTCAATACGTGGTATGTATTAGTATCTCTGTTAGACGGTTGATAGTGTATTAAGCGAGTATATATACTTCTAATCGTTACAGTTGTCATGGTGATTTGATGTTTATGTTGATGAAAATAAAATGATATGTAATAAACCATGCCCCGTACTATGCATGTAAATTTACGTTTGTGGATCGATGCCCGGCATATATTTCGTTTTGTACTTCTTGACTATTAAATTAGCATCTGATGGAAGAATATTTTTCTTTCGTTTTTATATAGGTAACTGATTCACGTCCTGTGTGTCTCATCAGTACCTTCCCAACCCTCTTTGTCATCGGGAGATACCTAGGTTTCATCCTAGGTTGTTGTTTTAATGCGTTTTAATGTGTTTGGTTGAAAATGTAACTTTGAGAGAACTAATGTTCAGAATATTTTCTTTGATATCCTTTCCCTCGGTTTTGACAAGCGTGGTCATCAACAAGCTTGTGGAGTGAAATTTCAATTCACACGTGCAACTCGTACACCTGACTGTTCTACCTGCAAGTGCCCCAGACCCCTACCAACCCCCAACCCCCATCCCCATCCCCACGTAAAAATAGCGAAAAGTGACGACAAAATCATGATCGTTTATTAAACAACTATTTAATTCGGGTGTCCAAAATTATGAGACAAATCATCAGAGTGGGTCTGTCGATTTCATGTGACTGCTAAATTTGGTTTTGTTGCATTTATTAGATTTTGTGTTTGTGAGCAATTCATCAGTCTAAAATGAATTTGGCCTAACCACGGCGGAAGCCATTGAGGTTCTGTTGTTTGGCCAAACAAGTTCATACTGTTATAACGCCGATTCATGTCGGGTAAAACATCCATTAAATAATATAATTTAATCGTTTATCACGTTAATGTCACTATGTGGACTACTATCCAGGGCAAATATGCATAGGACAATATAACCTTCGCATGCGCACCACAATGTCAACACAGTGATGACTGACGAAAGTGTGTCAATGCGCCAGTTGTCAACACACACTATACAGAATGGTTCAGGTACTATTCACCTGACCGATACATTAAACGTGTATATTTTGGTCATATTTAGCCAAGCTGAAATATGCAAATGTCTACACTGTCAACTTGAGTACCTGCGTGGTTTACGCTTTATGCCCGATGAACCAATTTAATTCAACACTATAGGGACCGCGTCATACCAAAAGACGTTAAAATATGGTACTTTTGGTCCCTGCCTGGCGCTTGGCATTAATGGGTACAACAAGGACTGGTCGGCTCGGAGTCAGTATAATGTGTCTGAGTGGGGTATTCATGCTTCACTGCGGCATGGTATCACAGTGGGCTAGCACTATAAAACCAGCTAAAGTCTGGGCTAGTACAAGCAGCCGCACATACACATACACACGCATGCACGTCATCATATGAACGAAATATAATCAAGCACGACGTTAAACCCAATTTCACCTCACCTCAACACTATAGGAATGCATAGAGTATAGCACAGTAACGTATAGTAACAGATATATTACGTCATATGTGATGTTTTCAATGTGTTCGTCAATTGAATATTATGCACGACAAACGTGTACATAAAGCGGGCCCATAAAGCTTAAGGGAACCTCTCAAAACAGTAATGTTTAATATTGCCAAGTGCCCTGCCTTGCTCATGAGAACATGCCTATTTCGCTGAGAAAAATGTTATAGAATATTGTATTCAATACGGCCCATCTGGATCATGACCAGAAACCTCTTAACTAACATGACAAGAATGTTAAAACGTAAATGTTTACATAAAGTTACCATAATTGTTTTCATCAAGCACTAGAACCACCTCAACCGTTGGCGTGTATAGATGTTTAGACTATCAACCATTGGTTTACCTTCTCCAGGCCGGATCTCGCCTGGAGAGGATTATTGAGATACGACTACACAATGTTGGAGTTTGAACCAGAGCTATCTCTACCTGGGATATATATCTTTCTACATGGAGAAAATAATTCACCGTCGGGTGTACACGCAGTCCTGATACCGCTATATCTATTTATGTCAGTGATATTTACTCAGAGCGCGTGGTGCACGTTCGGTTCTCAAGGACTCAGGATACCGCGTCACGTTCTGACCCGATTTACTCTACAGCGAGTTTCACAATGGCATTTGCGCTGATCAGAAGGGGCTACAGAGTTAGCAAAATGGTTTCTCCGCTGGTAACTCCGGAATGGCTGTCAAGTCAAATCAACGCCGGTAACAAAGATTTGAGAATTTTTGATACAACCATTGGACCTTCCGGGCCTTCTGTGGATGAGTTTAAGAGGTAATGATAACGGCACCCCATTACTATGTCGTAATGTAGAGCATGTTGGTTTCGTAATTTAAATAATAAGTTAGGTTGCATTTTGGAGGTGCATTCTACCTGATGTATATGTAACAGTCAATGTGTAAAATCAGGCAATTTGTAAATTGACTGAAATTTTCAGGCGATTTACAAATTGACTGATTTTGACTGTAACATATGCACCGCAACGACTAAGTTAGAAAATCTTTCTAAAATTTTTTTTTATAATTGCAGAATATATACATTATACACTACGTTTCTCAATTTATTTTTTTCTTTCACAAAATTAAGAATATTTGTGATAATATATTTGATAATATTATGCATTTATTTTTAAATGAATGCATGTTCACGTTTTGTTTGCCAGTGAACATATAGAAGGAGCACAGTTTCTCAACATAAAAAAGCATGCCCCCTTCACTCAACACCTCCCTTTGGGGCTACAAGATCCCGGAGTTTTTCAAGATTACTTGAGATCTCTCGGCATTAACTCATCAAGTCATGTGATCGTGTACGAAAATGTTCAACTGAACGGATTTGCAGCATCTCGAGGATGGTGGCTGTTAAGGGTAACCTATTATTCTCTGTTAACGGTATATTTTGTGAATCTATCCCGGTATGTTTTGTGAATCTATCCCCATATTATCCACATATCAGCATTCAGAGAAGTAGTACCCTTCCTGGAATAGTAGGGTGGAGCCCCCGGTGGAGTGGGTATGGAAATTTAAGTTTACATATTATTGATAGAGGAAAACAAAGTCCGCAAAATAATCCGCCTTTGAAAGACTTCGTCTTGTTGAAAACATATCACTGAATGAGCAAATATTTTACTTCGGGAGGAAAGTCTAGTTTGATCTAAGTATAGCTACGTACGTGCCCGCGCCTTATCGGCGAAGTCATTTTGAAGCAGACAAAGAATAGTTCTTAAACTGAAGTTTAGGCTGACAAAATGTCTGATATTTTGAAGCGGTATAAGGTAGGACAGTTAATATTCACCTGAAACATTAATACACCACATTACGTGAAGTTATTTGCAATCAGTATGCTAAGATGGATTTAAGTAGACAGTGAGTTAAATTAAACGTTGTCCGACTGGATTCCAGGTATAACGTATATGTTGCTGGTAAACCACAGACTTTCTTATCCAGTATCACGGCATAACCAATGTGTCGCTTTTAAACGGGGGACTGGTCAGATGGAAGAAGGAAGGTCACCCGGTCACAGATAAACAAGTTGAGTATGAGGTGAGTGGTCAGTTGAGATAAATAGAGAATCTCACCCTCGTGTCTTTTGATATCAATTTTATCACACCCGTGAAGGTCCGGGTTAGAATATTGATCTTCAGTAAAGTAGAGAATCTCAACCGAGTGTCCTTTGATATCAGTTATATTACACCCGTGAAGGTCCGGGTTAGAACATTAAGTAAACCATGCTTGTCGTAAGAGGCGACTAACGGGATCGGGTGTTCAGGCTCGCTGACTTGGTTGACACGTCATCGGTTCCCAATTGCGCAGATAGATGCTCATGCTGTTGATCTCTGGATTGTCTGGTCCAGACTCTATTATTTACAGACCGCCGCCATGTGGCTGGAATATTGCTGAGTGCGGCGTAAAACTAAATATACTCACTCACTCAATTATATCACCACGAGTTTTCTCATTTTATCATCGAGTGGTGATATATTTGATATCAAAAGACACGATGGTGAGATTCTATTAATCATCCAATATCATACTTAATTTGTCGTTCAAGAGAAATTAAAAACAAAACGTTACCTGTAGCAAGTTCATTTGAAGTCTTGCGTATGAATACATCCAAGTGAACAAGAGAAATGGAAGGGAACGAGTGACACCATTACGTCAAAAAACAAGCACATAAAAAGTTGTGCTAACATGTATTGCTTTATATTCTGCAATACGTAAGTTTCACCATTTCTTGGTGGCATTTTAAGTAAACTTTTATGTCGCAAGAACTAGTTGAAACTTATTCACCTGTCAAAAATGATTTAATTGCGGTGGCCATCTTTGTTTACAGCTAAGGGAGATGAAAGTAATCCGAAAATATTGACCAATCAGCAATTAGCTCAAAACTTACCAAAACCATAGCTCCTAGGAGATACTATCGCTTGATCTTCTACATGCGATATCTCCTCTGGAAACCAGTATTGGATGATAACATCATGCATGCATGCGCCTGTAAAACACACCCCAAAAATGCGAAACGTTTCAAATTACCTGTTAATTGTGATGTGAAACGTTGTTGTGGAACGTGGAACATTGAATTTTGTCAGAAAAAAATGTGTAATATTTATCGAGTTTAAAGTGTAAGTACCATATTTCCCAGAAAGGTGACGTGACGGTCAAGGTCAACAAAAGCCTGGTAATGCTGTACGATGACATCAAACCCGGAGATGGCCGACAGTTCGTTGACACGAGACAACCCTACCATTTTAATGGCGAAGAGAAAGAACCTTCAAAATGTACGAGTCTGCGTAACTGGAACTAGTTACCTAGTAACAATGTTTATTATCTTACCTCACACATAAACGTCGTTTTCTGATTGGCTGAGCGCTCTTCTACTAATTTCAATGTACCCCGATGTTTTGCAAATGCAAATCGATGAAAGGGAGATAACTCTAAATTTGTTTTTCTTGTCTCTCATCGGTATTGGCTAATTGCCTAACTCTGGTACTCCTTATTATGATCCGATACCCTTCAAACAGAAAATGACACTCTCCACTGGTCCCTCGGGCTCAGGTAAAACATAGAGGGTACATCAACCCATGTCTGCCTCTTAACCAGTGAACAACCTCCAATGGTCTAGGGGTCTAAGGCGCTGCAGCTTACTGTGCAGAGTTGTGTCCCTTTGCACGCCAGAAACCCAGGCAACTAATGTTGGTTCGTATCAGGGTTCGTTCCCATAATAAGTATTAGACGTCGTAGACCTGCATTACAGCAATACAGCAAAATAAGCAGCAATAAACTAAACCGACTCTGCTGCGGATTTTGTACGCAAATATACCATTAAACTAATTAAACATGTATGGAGTTACATGCTGGGTCCTTAGTTCTCTTATTTTATTCTTCTGGCGAACAGTTCAGACGGCGCGAATGGAAGTTTTAGGACTGAAATCAGATGGCCTGACGTTTCAGACCGGTCATATTCCCGGAGCCGTCAACATGTACTACCCCTCCATGTACGCTGACGACACCATTTCCTTTAAGGAGAAAGACGAACTTCTCCGAGGTGAGTTACCAGGGAGAAATATTTACACTTTCCTAAGTTGAATAAAATTCTGAAATATATATGTTTAATTGGCAAGGTAAAATTATGAGGATTCGCAATCTTAATTTCACTTTATTTGATTTACTTTTCTGTTTAAAGTGAAATTCATCGGTACGTTTTCACTGCAAACAGACTATAGTATTTCGAAATTCTGTCGCATTTAGGCCAGGGTACTGCCGAAAGCAAGGTCCCATCTTCACCTGTTTCTTCCAAAGAGACCTCGATCTTCGTATCCATTCGATACAACTAAAGCAGGTTTTCGATTAGAGATTCTTTCATATTACCGTAGTTACCTGTAATGACATGTAAACTTTAGTGATGTGAAAGAATCAGCCGATCCGTAACCCATTGTTGTTTATCAACAACAATGTTATATTGCATCAAAATAATCGTGTCAATGCCTTGGTCCAGTGTTTCAGTCAGCTGGGGTCAAGTTGGACCAACCCATAACGTCCACGTGTTACATCGGCTTCACAGCCTGTGCCCTCGCCCTTGCCGCATGTGTCTGTGGAAAGGACGATGCCAGCGTGTACATTGTAAGTTTAATACATCTGCCTGCTGAGTATGCTGATATTTATTCAATATTAAATATGTGTTATATAACACAACTGGGTGAAACATTTTAAGTTTTAAATCAGTTCATATGCATTTTAGCTTTTCATTTTTAGAGTTCAGTTTTACGCCGCACTCAGCAATATTCCAGCTTTGTGGCGACGGTCTGTAAATAATCAAGTCTTGACCAGACAATCCAGTGATCAACAGCATGAGTATCGATCTGCGCAATAGGGATACGATGACATGTGTCAACCAAGTCAGCGAGCCTGACCACCCGATCCCGTTAGTCGCCTCTTACGAAAAGCATGAGTTGCTGAAGATCAATTCTTACACGGATCTTCACGGGTGTTTTAGCTTTTAAACATACAAGTAGTTATATAATCTGTACTTTTGTTCATTACACATTGGTCGGTTTGAACCATATTGCCGAGATTAATACATCAAGGTTCATATATAAACATTCTTTGAATCTCTGAAGGGTTCCTGGGCTGAATACGGACAAAGAGCTTCTGCCGCCGAAGTGGAGTGCTAGCTTTGAAAACATACTCACTAGACAGAAGGCCTGTTTTGTAGTCTTAGTAGTTGCTGCTGCGTGCATTGTGACCGGCTGGAGGTGCGTCAAGTGAGTGAGTTTGGTTTTACGCCGTTTTTAGCAATATTCCAGCAATATCACGGCGGGGGACACCAGAAATGGGCTTCAGTCATTGTATCCATGTTGGGAATCGAACCCGGGTCTTTGGCATGACGAGCGAACACTTTAACCACTGGGCTACCCCACTGCCCCGTGTCAAGTGAAGGAACTGAGATGATGAGATTCGTGTTTGAAACTCGATTCTTTGCACTTGTTAAACAGAGTAAATGTATTTGTAATTTACACCACTGTTGTGTCCTAAGACCTAAGATCTACAGTGACAACCATTCTATATATGTGGTAAACGGGGAAATATATGCTTCTATATAGTCCTCTGTTCTGCTACTAAAACCTTTGTAGAGACCCATTTTATTTTTGTTAAACGGGGTAAATGTAATGTTTTTAGTTACACCATTGTTTTGTTACTACAACTAAGACCTGTATTCACACTCATTCTAGATATATAGTAAACTGGGTAAATATATGTTTTATTTCACCATTCTTTTGTTACTACATCTAAGACCTGTATTCACACTCATTCTAGATATATGATAAACTGGGTAAATATATGTTTTATTTATACCATTGTTTTGTTACTACAATTAAGACCTATATTCACACTCATTCTAGATATATGGTAAACTGGGTAAATATATGTTTTATTTACACCATTGTTTTGTTACTACAACTAAGACCTGTATTCACACTCTTTCTAGATATATGGTAAACTGGGTAAATATATGTTTTATTTACACCATTGTTTTGTTACTACAACTAAGACCTGTATTCACACTCTTTCTAGATATATGGTAAACTTGGTAAATATATGTTTTATTTACACCATTGTTTTGTTACTACAACTAAGACCTGTATTCACACTCATTCTAGATATATGGTAAACTGGGTAAATATATGTTTATATTTACACCATTGTTTTGTTACTACAACTAAGACCTGTATTCACACTCATTCTAGATATATGGTAAACTGGGTAAATATATGTTTTATTTACACCATTGTTTTGTTACTACAACTAAGACCTGTATTCACACTCATTCTAGATATATGGTAAACTGGGTAAATATATGTTTTATTTATACCATTGTTTTGTTACTACAACTAAGACCTATATTCACACTCATTCTAGATATAAATGGTAAACTGGTAAATGTATGTTTATATTTTTATACACCATTGTTTTGTTACTACAACTAAGACCTGTATTCACACTCATTCTAGATATATGGTAAACTGGGTAAATATATGTTTTATTTATTCACCATTGTTTTGTTACTATTTATACCAACTTTTGACCTGTATTCACACTCTTTCTAGATATATGGTAAACTGGGTAAATATATGTTTTATATTTACACCATTGTTTTTAGATTACTACTTCTAAGACCTGTATTCACACTCATTCTAGATATATGGTAAACTGGGGTAAATATATGTTTATATTTACACCATTGTTTTTGTTACTACAACTAAGACCTGTATTCACACTCATTCTAGATATATGGTAAACTGGGTAAATATATGTTTTATTTATACCATTGTTTTGTTACTACAACTAAGACCTACACTCTTTCTAAGACCTGTATTCACACTCATTCTATTTAGATATATGGTAAACTAAGACCTAAATTTTAGATATATGTTTATATTTTATTTACCATTGTTTTGTTACTACAACTAAGACCTGTATTCACACTCATTCTAGATATATGGTAAACTGGGTAAATGTATGTTTATATTTACACCATTGTTTTGTTACTACAACTAAGACCTGTATTCACACTCATTCTAGATATATGGTAAACTGGGTAAATATATGTTTTATTTACACCATTGTTTTGTTACTACAACTAAGACCTATATTCACACTTATTCTAGATATATGGTAAACTGGGTAAATATATGTTTTATTTATACCATTGTTTTGTTACTACAACTAAGACCTGTATTCACACTCATTCTAGATATATGGTAAACTGGGTAAATATATGTTTTATTTATACCATTGTTTTGTTACTACAACTAAGACCTGTATTCACACTCATTCTAGATATATGGTAAACTGGGTAAATATATGTTTATATTTACACCATTGTTTTGTTACTACAACTAAGACCTGTATTCACACTCTTTCTAGATATATGGTAAACTGGGTAAATATATGTTTTATTTACACCATTGTTTTGTTACTACAACTAAGACCTGTATTCACACTCTTTCTAGATATATGGTAAACTTGGTAAATGTATGTTTATATTTACACCATTGTTTTGTTACTACAACTAAGACCTGTATTCACACTCATTCTAGATATATGGTAAACTGGGTAAATATATGTTTTATTAACACCATTGTTGTGTTGCTGCATCCAAGACCTGTATTCACACTCATTCTAGATATATGGTAAACTGGGTAAATATATGTTTATATTTACACCATTGTTTTGTTACTACAACTAAGACCTGTATTCACACTCTTTCTAGATATATGGTAAATGGGGTAAATATATGTTTTATTTACACCATTGTTTTGTTACTACAACTAAGACCTATATTCACACTCATATTCTGATAAATGGTAAAATTTGTTTACACCACTTTCCCATTCTATATATACGCTAAACGGGGTAAATTGTGTTTTTGTTTAACACCAGGTGTCTGTAACTACAGCTGAGACCTTTAGCTGCTGCTCTTTCATTTTGCTTATGGTTGTGTTTCCTACACGACTTGCCACTGAAGATTTCTTAGCTAATCAGTTAGCGTGTTGAGATAGATAATGTTAGTGGCTCCTGCAGGGCCATTTTACCTGGTTGTCTGGAGATGTTGCCATGCATACCAACAATATTCGATATTTTGATAGGGATGAAACACCACCAAGGTAAAATACACGCTCCTAATTAACAGCTTTCTGGCCTGATTCAGTGAGACAGAAAACTCTCCACAAAGCTGTATGGCTACAGGCATGATTTCAGCTTTTCACCATCTCCAACCATTGGTCTTTACACGTCCGAACTTTCAGGTACATCGGAACATACTTTTTACCAATATTTCAAAGGAAGATTCGACTCTTGCTCAGGGTTGTTTAGTCCAGGTTTCAACGTTCAAGTTCTCAGGAAAAGCTTTCAAAACGTTCAATGGTAAAACGTTCGGTGATTCATAAACACATGTTCACGATATAGTCGAAATTGTACAATCGACTCTGCTTTTAGATTTAGTGTAGACGTGGAAAGGGTTTTGTCGCATTTACTTGTAATGAACTCTACTATTCAGCATTTGAAACGACTCTGTCCAGGTTTGAACTGACCGATTATTATTCCTGTACATGATGTACTACAAATGGTACTACAGAAAGTATACACTTGAAACTTGATTTGACAATGATAACGTTCTTAGGCTGTGAAGGGTTACGGAAATTAGCAAAGTTCCACTTCCGGGTATAGTACCTGTATCACATACATCGCCATTGACTATCTATTAACCATTCCCTGTTCGATTCATTTTAGCCACCGTCAAACATGGATGTATACTTTCTTTTGTCCGTCAGTATAGTATTACATATTTGTATGGTATTGACGTATTTCTGGCGTCAGTAATAGTTAGAATAAACATAGTTTCAGTCTTTGATAGGTTGTTACTTTCTTTTTTATTGTGGTATGGTAGACAGAGCGTGCTGGTTGTAAACCTATCTGGTGTCGGAAGTTAGGGGATTAAAGAAGGACTTGCAGTTAAATTCCAAATTAAGATAGTAGGATAGTGGCGTGACCTGCCATGGGATGTATGTAACAGTAGCTAGCTATAGGAGCTGATGTTCATGAGTAAGTGAGTTTAGTTTTACGCCGCACTCGGCAATATTGCAGCTATATGGCAGCCGTCTGTAAATAATCGAGTCTGGTCCAGACAATCCAGTGATCAACATCGTGAGCATCGATCTACGCAATTGGGAACCGATGACATGTGTCAACCAAGTCAACGAGCCTGACCACCCGATCCCGTTAGTCGCCTCTTACGAAGCATGGGTTACTGAAGATCAATTCTAAAGCCGGGTGCGGGTCTGATGTTCATGAGATTTTGTCGGAGACTATAATTTGTCTGAGGGGTGTATTAGATGGCAAAGCGTAACATGGGATCTTAGTTGGTTAGCACTATAAAAGAGGCATTTGCCGGAATAGAGTACGCGCACGCGCACGCACACGCACACACACCAAAAACGCGACGTGCAACCCGTCACCATAACTGTATGAGTGAGTGAGTTTAATTTTACTCCGCTTTTAGCAATATTCCGGCAGTGGACACCACCCATTGTGTCCATGTGGGGAATCGAACCCTGATTTTCGGCATGACGAGCGATCGCTTTAACCACTAGTCTACCCAACCGCCCCCCCATAACTTTATGACGGATCTCACCAAATCACCCACCCTCCCTCACATCCCATGTAATACCTGCTTCAAACGATAAGTGTTTGGCCATTTACACCCAGTGGAATCGTTTTAGGGGGGCAATCGAGACTATTCACTGGCATGACGTAAATATATTTTTACAAGTATATATTACTACTTCTCACTGTTGTTGACCTAGGGCTGTTTCTAGTGTCATCCTTCTGTAAGCCTTTTACTTTATGAATAAAGCATCCTAACCTGCTGGCAGGAAGTCTCCTATAGTGTAGAACTTTTACAGTGTGTATATAGGGTCTTAAAGATCTGGGTCCCGATCTACAAAGCTTTCTTAACAATACGACCTATCGTAACACTATACGTTATCATAGGCTTACGAACTGTATAGTGCTACGAACGTTTCGTGGATCCGTCCCTTGCCCAATGAATATTATGTTACATGCGCATTTGACACATTGTTTGTTGGACGTTGTATGATTCTATCTGATTACACAAGGTAATGACTGTAGGGGTATCTTTGACTAGGGTCCAGGTAGTATACTGTTGCAATCTTTCGCCACGTGTTAAAGTTTAGGCCTTGACTTGTGAGGTATCAGAGGTGAATCTGCATGGGAATGTGTCTACGGTGAGTGAGTATTGTTTTATGCCGCATTTAGCGATATTCCAGCAGTATCACGGCGGGGGACACCATAAATGGGCTTCACACATTGTGATCATGAGGAAATCGAACCCGGGTCTTCGGCGTGACGAGCGAACGCTTAGACCACCAGGCTACCCCCACCGCCCATCTTGTAGTAAGTTTAAATTCAACGTCGCAGGCCTTGTTTCAGCCATATAGCGAACGGAGCCTACTTACTGACAACTTCGCGTGAAAGTTACATGGAGTTATGGTTTGACCTAGTGACCAAAATTTATCCGCGAGAAGCTGTCGACATCATTCTAGTGAGGGAAACATGGCCTCCCCCACCGTAACACCAGAATGGCTGTCAAGTCAAATACATGCCGGAAACAAAGATTTGAGAATTTTTGATACAACCATTGGACCTTCCGGGCCATCAATCGATGATTTTAGGAGGTGAGAATGCTTTGGTGGTTGCACGTAACTGTGTTCGGTATTATCATACTGCATGTACTGCAAGGCTAGTATCATGTGGACTAGGTTGCGTTTTGGAGGTGCGACCAACGGACTGTTTCTATAATGGTTTCGGTTAACATGATATTTGTCCATGAACATTACTTTAAAATTGGTGTGGATTTTTTTAGACATAGAAATAATTGTAAAAGAAACAAACCGCTACATCAAGACTCACATTTGTCTATATAGTTATTTCAAATGGTGTGTAAACTGAATAAAGCATTATTACAGTAATGTGTATGCATAATTTCCATGACAATAATTTACAATACTTTCCAGTGCGCATATTGAAGGAGCACAGTTTTTCGACTTGAAAAGGAATGCCCCTTCACTCAATACCTCCCACTGGGTTTACCGGATCCTGCAGTTTTTCAGGATTACGTGAGATCCTCGGAATTAACACGTCCAGTCGCGTCATCCTGTACGAAAACATCGACCAAAACGGGTCTAAAGCATGTCGAGGATGGTGGCTGCTGAGGGTATTTATTATTCTCCATTCAGTACACTGATTTCTTCCAAGACCGGTCAAAGACGGAGACGGGCAGTGGGGTGGCCTAATGGTTAAAGCCTTCGCACGTTACGTCGAATGCCCGGGTTAGATTCACCGTGGATTTGCTGGTATAGTGTTAAACGCGGCGCGGCACCATTCATACTGGTGAGACGGCCGTGACCGTGTATCCTCGTGTCTGTTTGTGTTTGTCGTTATAATTGCTGTATACTAGTGGTGGTCCGATTAACTTAAATAATCGAAGATTGATGGCAGTGACTAAACGACCAAGCAATTGATCATGTTTTCTCATAATCGAACACAAACAATTTTGGAAGACATGTTTGCATTAACAATAATTTTCACAAGGTTGGTTTTGTCTGTGACATTAAATTTACATTTCATAAGCACTACATGCTCGTTCCAAGTCATGACTGAATTTATCTTAAAGACTCCAGGAAATTTATGTTCCTAACATACCAGTCATCCTTTAAAGACGTGAAATTTGCAAATGCATTTTGACCAATCTGAAAAAAACCACCTTTGTTCTTTTGCGCATTAACAAGCACAACAGGAAAATTTGATAAATGACGCTAACCAATTATTTTCGATGATTGATCGGTTGTAATGACTGACTGACTGAGTATAGTTTTACGCCGCTTTGAGCAATATTCCAACAATATCACCGCGGGGGACACCAGAAATGAGCTTCACACATTGTGCCCATGTGGGGAATCGAACCCGGGTCTTCGGCGTGACGAGCGAACGCCATAACCATAGGCTACCGAACCGCCCCCGGTTCGGATGAACCAATTATCAATTATGAGATTTTAACCAATTCCCAACACTAATGTATACTGAGTCGAGTTTTATAGTCGCTATGATGTACACGGAAAATTGCTAGCTGACACGTGAAACAATGTTCACTCATTCAGTGGTCTATATTTACTTGTTGTACCCTACCCGTTGATCTTCAGTAACCCATGCTTGTCGTAAGAGGCGACTAACGGGATCGGATGGTCAGGCTCGCTGACTTGGTTGACACATGTCATCGGTTCCACATTGCGCAGATCGATGCTCATGCTGTTGATCACTGGATTGTCTGGTTCAGACTCGATTACTTGTATTTACAGACCGCCGCCATATAGCTGGAATATTGCTGAGTGCAGCGTAAACCTAAACTCACTCACTCACTACTTGTTGTACCCACAGGTTCACGGTATAACGAACGTTTCTGTGTTGAGCGGGGGATTGGTCAGGTGGAAGAAAGAGGGCCATCCCGTCACGGACAAGCAGTTCGAATATGAGGTGGGTGAACTCTTGGACAATATGGCACATGTATACTTTAAAGACTGACTGAGTTTGGTTTTACGCCGCTTTTAGCAATATTCCAGCAACATCACGGCGGGGGACACCAGAAATGTACTTTAAAGAAAAGTGTCAAACATATGCACATGGTAAGAAATGATGATAATAATAAGATCCCGCATTAGAATAGGCCAGGTGGTTTGGTTGATTGGCTGTCAACGCAGCCCGTCTGCTCATAATATCAATCACTGGACTGGTTCTGGCTCGATCTTTTATGTGCCCCATACAGGGGTACGGCATAAAGCTGGAATATTGTTAAGTACACAAGTACACACTCTCTCTCACACGCACACATGGTCTCACTGAAATACTCTGTGTGTGTGTCTCTCTCTCTCTAGCCCTCCCTCTCTCACTCACACCCATGAAGATCCGTGTAACCCATGCTTGTCGAAAGAGGCGACTAACGGGATCGGGTGGTCAGGCTCGCTGACTTGGTTGACACATGTCATCGGTTCCCAGTTGCGCAGAACGATGTTTGTGCTGTTGATCATTGGATTATCTGGTCCATAATCGATTATCTACAGACCGCAGCCATATAGCTGGAATATTGCTGAAACTAAACTCACTTACTCACTCACACACACACACGCACAGATACACAGATCAATACATATATACTACCCATCAAAAGTTTAGACTCACTAGTGTAAATGTAGCCACTTACTTGTCCACTGTTCTAAACTAGCTTTTTGCAAAATATTCCATACTGTTTAAGGTACTGTTTAGTTATGAACTGGTGTATTGTAAAACATATTCGTAACATTGAAAAGATTATTGTCACGAGTTCAGTAAATGATTAAAATCTGTGAAAATTGGCGAATTCTTAACAAAACTTTACACCAAAACGAATCTGTTCACATGCACGACATTTGCTCATGCCTTTCGCAATTTGAAGCATCATCCTTGTGCAATTCATCTGCATAAGGTTTTCAGTTGGTTTGCCCCAAGTTGGTGGAGAAATTCATCTTCGATGTAACCACATACATATACATAACATATAGTGAGTGCTTTAAGTGAGTCTAAACTTTTGATGGGTAGTATATGCCGTCTATCACACACATACGCGCACGCACGCACACATACACACATAAAAGTATTTACGCTCGCTCACAAGCACGCTCTCTCTTACAATCACAGAAACACATCATTTCTTAAATTTTCAAAACTGTGAAATGAAATCTTTAAAATGCCTCAACAAATCTGAAAAAACAGAAAGTGATATTTGTCGAATTCAGAGTGTATGTACCGTGTTTCCCAGAACGGTGACGTAACGGTCAAGTTCAACAAAAGCCTGGTAATGCTGTATAATGACATCAAACCCGAAGATGGCCGACAGTTCGTGGACACGCGACACCCCGACAACTTTGATGGCAAAGAGAAGGAACCCTCAAAATGTAGGTCTGCTAGCGAATGCATCGGAACTGGAAATACTGAAGGGTCACAATTTTGGTGTCCCCAACCATGATGTTGCTGTAATATTGCTAAAATTCTCACGCACGCACGTCACTGAATTTTTAAATTCAGATGTGAATAACTTTGAAAGTGTTTGCACATCATTCGGCTGGACCCGTGTTGATCCCGGTTAGAATTGATCTTCAGTAACCCATGCTTGTCGTAAGAGGCGACTAACGGGATCGGGTGGTCAGGTTCGCTGACTTGGTTGGCACATGTCCCATTTGCGTAGATCGATGCTCATGTTGTTGATCACTGGATTGTCTGATCCAGACTCGATTATTTACAGACCGCCGCCACTGATAGCTTGAAAATTGCTTTGTGCGGCGTAAAACTAAACTCACACACTTACTCATTCGGCTGACTCGTGAATGGGGACGAAGCTTTAACCATTGTTGTTGAGAATGTATTTGATCTTATGCACATGATGCTGAAACTGAATGTTTAAGGAGGAGTGAATGAAATTTGGTTTACGCCAGGATCTGCACTATTTTTAGCACTCTCGCGGTGTCTCCCGCATGCAATCAAGTGTATGAGGAGACCAGGAGTTGAAAGCATCATCAACGATCCAGCCACATCCACGCTGCCAGAATGTCACACACCACAATAACCTCAATACACGGGTCATCACAAACATATGCTGCAAGATCAGTTGGATGATGGCGTGGCATAGTACCCCGATGGGGTGGGTCATTGTTCGATCACTAGATTATATGGTCCGGATTCGATGTGTATATACGTGGTTTGTCATAAAGATGTAATCTTGCTGAGTGCTTCGTTAAACATCAAACATCACTCGGCTTTTGAAACAGGGATCTGATAGCGGAGAAATAGAATAGAAATTCATCTGTTCTCTTTTCTGATAGTCCAGAGCTACTGTATGGGCTTTCTGGGACTGAAGTCTGATGGTCTGAGGTTTCAGACCGGTCACATCCCTGGAGCCGTCAACATCCCCTACCCTACCCTCTTCAAGGAGGACGCTATTTCCCTTAAATCCAAAGAGGAGCTTCTACAAGGTCAGTTACCATAGAAAAACATTACACTCGTTTAACCGGAATTTTGTTCAGATTGATTGATGTCATCTTCTTTCGAGCACAATTATCACCTTTGGCTCTTTTAATGAGAAAGAAATATACTCTTATGCCCAGAAGACTTTAATTCAACATGCTTCAGCCATTCAGATCGCGACACCTACTCACCTCTGATTTCCGATCAATTGATTCCATAAGCTAATATTATGATCCGGTGGTCCAGTGTTTCAGTCAGCTGGGGTCAAGCTGGACCAACCCATGACGTCCACGTGTTACATCGGCTTCACAGCCTGCATCCTCGCCCTGGCCGCGTGTGTCTGTGGGAAGGACGATGTCAGTGTGTACTATGTAAGTATAATACACATGCTGAGCATACTGTTTTATATGTATAGAGTATCTACTCATCTTCCAGCAATAAAATATCATTTTGTGACGAGTATATTCGTAAGTGACGTCCTGTGAGATCCTACCGTTCATCCTTTCATAAGTAGAGATGTAATGCTAATTGGCTTGTATATTTAGACATTAAATTGTTGGGTACATTGTTACATTCCATGTTGTTAGTCGTGCAAAAGAGCATTTCAAGATATTTATGCCATTTCAATTTTAAGCAAATCTTTTCTTTGTGAAATTCCAATAGTGCTAATGATTATGCAGTTTTGAGAACTATAAAATGGAACTTTCCTTAACTAATGTAAATGTATGACGAAAATAGGACCCATAACCTTCATTTACACTGATCTTCTTTTCATTCAATCATTCATTTCCTGACTCACATCTCACTATTGCCTAAAGCGTCACCTAATTATGATTACATCCTTCGAAGGGTTCCTGGACGGAGTACGGACAAAGGGCATCTGAGGCCAGTGTGGAGTGCATGTATTGAATACGTAGCCAGTAGCAGGTCCATCCTCTTCTGATCTTGATCTGCTGCTGCTGCTGCTAATGATGATGAAGAAGACACTGACGATGCTGATGTTGGTGCTGCTGAAGCTACTGTTGCCGATGATGAAAACTGCATGCATTGTGAGCCGTTGGTGCTGTATGTAGAGAGGGGACTCAGATGTTGACTTATTTGCTAAAGAATATATTATATGAAACTGATAAAGATCAAATAAACAAAAAGTGTTTTACCCCAGTTCTAAAATCGCAAGTACAGTGATCGTAGAGTCAGGCTCAGTTACAATTATGAATGGAAAGAGAACTTTAATAAAGTTCTAATGTTCATATGTTTTTGTTTTCTAAAATCACTGACACTGGTGAACGACGAACTGTACGTTATTCCCTCAGGATCTTGTAATCACTTGTGAAAAACATGTACTCCGAAGTGTGAAGTGAATCGATAGAAACATATAAAGTGTTGTTTTCCAGTTGCCAATATTTTCACTTGAAATACAGCAGCATTCATGTAAAGAAATTAACACAAACTTTGTTTAACGAGAAACTAAGGGTCAGGTTAGAGTAGATGTACACTATTAAATCTCTATATTGCACAAGAAGGCAGTTCTCGTTGCCAATGGTATGCATGACTCTGAGAGAGACTCGCTGTATTGTAAATGAAACAGTAACTGTCATTGCGACAACATATCGCCAGGCAAAAACAACGCTTACTGTTATCTTACCTCACACATAAATGTCGCTTTCTGATTGGCTGAGCGCTCTTCTAATATTTTCAATGTACCCCGCTTACAAACGAGTAACATGTTCTGTGTTAACCGCTGGTAATTCCGAACTGTGGGAATTCATTTGGTACTTCGTGCTGGTAATTCTTTATCTCCATTAATTGAGTCACGTATGATGTACGGAAATTACCGATGTTTTGCGAATGCAAATCGATGGAAAGGAAATAACTCTAAAATTGTTTCTCATGTTGAGTGTTTTGGCTGTTGTCGGTATTGCCTAATTGCCTAACTCTGGTACTCCGTATATGATGCAATATCCGTGCTTCAAACAGTTCAAAATTAACATTGAGGTGTTCGGACAAACATAAACAAATAGAGGGTACGTCAACCCATATCCCCGTCGTGACCAGTGAATAATTTATAGTATATTAACTGTGTGCACAGTCGTGTATGGCAACATTGCAATATGTTTTGAAGTAAATTACAAATCCTCAATCTTCATGGACGTTTGTTTTCAGTATAGTTTATTCATTTCGTTATTTCGGCTTTATTGAATGACAACAAAATGCATCTGCTTACCAGTCTCGAGTTAGACAAGGTGCTCCGTGGCACCAGGGAGACGCTATAAGGGGGAGTGGTCACTCCTCGGAAAGCTCCTAAGCTATGCCTCGGCTCGTCACGTGACCAGTGTAGCCAATATGGCGGCAGCGTAGTTTTTTAAGATTTAGCCCGGTATATTTTCAACAGCTGATTACATACGCTGAGTGTTGTGACAACTGAAAACCTACATGTAGAAGATAAGTTACCTATTCTGTCACTTCATTTCAAGTCAGATAATTGTTATTAGTGCCAGTATAAGTACAGTAGCTTTGTAGTAAAGTTTCAAGTGGGCATGTTGTAGCTCACTGGCTTCAATTCTCAGTACACAGCGAAGAAAGACTAAATTATATCGCTAAAACTTCTTTCACATATTCGTTTAATTTTTAGAAGGAAATATACTTTTAGTTGAAAGGTGTTTGCAAGTAATAGTGATAGTTTTATAACTAAAAAATTTGCTAGGGTGTATTTGAGGTGTGTGAAAAATATGACATATCGCCGATCTGCCATTGAAATACTGCAGGGCGTTGTTTGAGTGTTTCTAGTTAGTGTTCAAAAACATCTTTCACATACACCTTCAATTTTTATGAGGGGAATATACCATCAGGTGAAAGGTGTTTGCAAGTAATAGTAATAGTTTTATAATTTAAAAAATTGTTAGTGTGTATTTGAGGTGTGTGAAAAATATGACATATCGCCGATCTGCCATTGAAATACTGCAGGGCGTTGTTTGAGTGTTTCTAGTTATTGTTCAAAAACATCTTTCACATACACCTTCAATTTTTATGAGGGGAATATACCATCAGGTGAAAGGTGTTTGCAAGTAATAGTGATAGTTTTATAATTTAAAAAACATTGTTAGTGTGTATTTGAGGTGTGTGAAAAATATGACATATCGCCGATCTGCCATTGAAATACTGCAGGGCGTTGTTTGAGTGTTTCTAGTTATTGTTCAAAAACATCTTTCACATACACCTTCAATTTTTATGAGGGGAATATACCATCAGGTGAAAGGTGTTTGCAAGTAATAGTGATAGTTTTATAATTTAAAAACATTGTTAGTGTGTATTTGAGGTGTGTGAAAATATGACATATCGCCGATCTGCCATTGAAATACTGCAGGGCGTTGTTTGAGTGTTTCTAGTTATTGTTCTAAAACATCTTTCACATACACCTTCAATTTTTATGAGGGGAATATACCATCAGGTGAAAGGTGTTTGCAAGTAATAGTGATAGTTTTATAATTTAGAAAACATTGTTAGTGTGTATTTGAGGTGTGTGAAAAATATGACATATCGCCGATCTGCCATTGAAATACTGCAGGGCGTTGTTTGAGTGTTTCTAGTTAGTGTTCAAAAACATCTTTCACATACACCTTTAATTTTTATGAGGGGAATATACCATCAGGTGAAAGGAGTTTGCAAGTAATAGTGATAGTTTTATAATTTAGAAAACATTGTTAGTGTGTATTTGAGGTGTGTGAAAAATATGACATATCGCCGATCTGCCATTGAAATACTGCAGGGCGTTGTTTGAGTGTTTCTAGTTATTGTTCTAAAACATCTTTCACATACACCTTCAATTTTTATGAGGGGAATATACCATCAGGTGAAAGGTGTTTGCAAGTAATAGTGATAGTTTTATAATTTAGAAAACATTGTTAGTGTGTATTTGAGGTGTGTGAAAAATATGACATATCGCCGATCTGCCATTGAAATACTGCAGGGCGTTGTTTGAGTGTTTCTAGTTATTGTTCTAAAACATCTTTCACATACACCTTCAATTTTTATGAGGGGAATATACCATCAGGTGAAAGCTGTTTGCAAGTAATAGTGATAGTTTTATAATTTAGAAAACATTGTTAGTGTGTATTTGAGGTGTGTGAAAAATATGACATATCGCCGATCTGCCATTGAAATACTGCAGGGCGTTGTTTGAGTGTTTCTAGTTATTGTTCTAAAACATCTTTCACATACACCTTCAATTTTTATGAGGGGAATATACCATCAGGTGAAAGGTGTTTGCAAGCAATAGTGATAGTTTTATAATTTAAAAAACATTGTTAGTGTGTATTTGAGGTGTGTGAAAAATATGACATATCGCCGATCTGCCATTGAAATACTACAGGGCGTTGTTTGAGTGTTTCTAGTTAGTGTTCAAAAACATCTTTCACATACACCTTTAATTTTTATGAGGGGAATATACCATCAGGTGAAAGGTGTTTGCAAGTAATAGTGATAGTTTTATAATTTAAAAAAAATTGTTAGTGTGTATTTGAGGTGTGTGAAAAATATGACATATCGCCATTGGTGCTTGTGATGCTTGACTGTTATAGTTCTAAAACTTCTTTCTTTCTTGTTGATCTTAGTATTTGACAAAACTGGAAAGGTGTTTACAACGCTTTGTGATAGTTCTAAACTTTCTGTTCTTGAGGGGTCTGTGACAGTGTCAGTTAACATTCTGTCAATGCCCATGTCATTCCACACATGCAATAAGATATCTGAATTAGTTACTAATGTAAAAACATGTCTCAAAGTAATTTGTTTTTGAAAAAGGACAGCTGATGTTAACATTTGTGTTCTACCGATAGTTTTGCGTTCTTTAATATGTTTGGGGAGGGATGGCCGTGGTGTATCATTTATTCTTTCATTCATTCACATATGTTCTTTTTATTTTGTTCTTTTTCTTAATTTCTTTCATTCATTCACATAAAATTCTTGCTCTTAATTCATTCATTCATTCATTGTAAAATTCCGACTGATACAATACACTGGCTGAAGTACTGTTAAACGCAGCCGAAGTTGCGCTGGGACCGAACCAAGTCACTGTGTGCGTTGGAGCATGACGAGGCACACGTTAATTAGTACAAATGGTAAAGAAAGCAAGCGAGTGACCTATCCCTGTTGTAGAGGGTTCATTCTCACTTATCCACCACCCTTTAGTTTTGACAAGGGGATTAGATGGGATTAGTTGACACGGGTTAGTGATTACACTGCTCACTCTGAAATTTGGTCCTGGTGGGTGACACTAATTAGCTGATTTGCCCTGTTACAGTGAACAGTGTTCGTGAACTTTAATTAAATTGTGTCGATTATGCTATTTGTGTTTTTTTAATTCAGTGAACACTTTTCACTATTACACGATTATAAAATGGTACATGAGGTTCTTTAAGGTCAGTCACGATGGCTAACCAACAGGTTAATGTCCAGGTTATTCCTAATGGTAGAGGTGGTCAGTACTTAGTGTTCCAAAATTACAAGTTTGTAGTTAAAAGAAGACGAGGAACATCTGTCCATTGGAACTGCGCCCAGAAGAACTGCCATGCCACGGTTAACACCAAAGATAATATTCTCACGTCCTACAGAGACCAGCATAACCATGCATCTGTGGAGAATAGAATCGCTGTAGATTCTTTCTTGGCCAATCTTAAGGACCTTGTCCGAAAAGATTCCAAACCAATTCCATCTCTTTATCAGGAGGAGTTATCAGGTAAATATTAACATAAATACTTGGCAACTTTTTAATTACTATTAAATACTAAAATACTACAACAGTTTTCTTTGAATTTAACATTGTGTTTCTCTGTTCTAGGTCTGAGAGTGATGAATCCTGACATCATTGCAGAAGTGCCCATCTTTGACAGTGTACGTCCTGCTCTATACCGCTCCCGAGCCAAAGACAGCAACTAGATCAGCAATAGATCTTCCCGATGCATATACTAAGACGCATGCCAATGACAACTTCCTGCTGTTTTCTCACGGCGACCATGACAAGATCCTGACCTTCGCGACTGACGAGAACCTGCGACTTCTCTCCGAAGCAGATGTGTACTACTGTGACGGAACATTTGACAAGTGCCCTGGTGTGTTCACCCAGCTTTACACCATTCATGCATTTGTGCAAAATAAGATGTGCCCTTTGGTGTATGGTCTGCTCCCAGATAAAAAGCAGTCGACATATGAACGTTTCTTTGAAAATGTGAAGAATGTAGCGGCCTCTAAGAACATTGTATTGGATCCAGTGAGTGTGTTCACTGATTTTGAGTCAGCTGCTCAAAACGCCATCAAGATGACTTTTCAAAATGCCATATTAAAGGGTTGCTACTTTCACTTTAGCCAGAGTGTTTGGAGAAAAGTTCAGAAGCTTGGAATGGTAACTGAATATAAGGACAACCGGACATAGGTCGTCTTGTAAGACGAGCGATTGCTTTGCCCCTGGTACCAGTGGACTGTGTGAGTGATGTGTGGTGGCAGGCCCTGGAAGATGCACCTCCTGGGGTGGAACAGTTTACAGACTATATGACATCGTACTGGGTGGAGGGTGACCATGGCAGGACCATGTGGAACCACTTCGCCACCGAAGGCCCCCGCACTACTAATCATGTTGAGGGCTGGCACAGGAAGCTTTCCTGTTTAGAAAACCATCCCAATATCTTCAAGATTATTGAATTCTTGAAAAAAAGAACAATCTTACGTAGAGGCATCATGTATGCAATTAAGAGGAGGTGCCAAACCTCCTCGCAAGAAAGTTAAATATGTCAATTTAACAAACAGATTATGTAACATCAAACAGCAATTCTTGGCTGGCCATATGGATGTATATGCATATTGGGATGCAGTATCCCATTTAACAGGCTATTGAGGATTGTCATAGATATTGAATGTATTGTTAATTTTGATATTGTATGTATTGTTGAACTAAAAAAAAATGTAGAAAGACTTTTTACTACTACATTCAAGGGGGGATCTTATTTCACAGGGAACAAAATTTCAGGGACATCTATTGTCTTGAGGATTATTCCGCTTCAGTGACTTGTCCACCTAGAACAATAGGTGGTGGATAAACGAGAAGACCCCTTGTAGAGTATCCCTGGTGGCACCAACACAACAACCACTGTTAGCTCACCTGGCCCCAGCGCCTCCTTCGTGTATCTTTATAAATAAGTAAAATTTGCAAATATCACAAGTTACCCTAACTGAGGTTGTCACTGCCTCCCGGAAGTGGTACACCCACCCGTTGCCTACCGCTGTATGCAAGTTAGTATGTTCAGCTTCACAGATCATGAACGCAAAGTGTTTAGGTTGAAATTAACCGTAACCGTGATGAGCGAGGCTGATCATCGTTTTCACTATCACTAGCGTCTGGCTCCAGGGATACTCTACAACATATATATATAGACCTTATATAGTCTCCTGTCGCAACTAAATCATAAACTGTCGGATACACGCCCTGCAAATTGAGAAGGTATATTGTTGGTTAGAACAGGGATACTCTACAACAGGGATAGGTCACTCGCTTGCTTTCTTTACCATTTGTACTAATTAACGTGTGCCTCGTCATGCTCCAACGCACACAGTGACTTGGTTCGGTCCCAGCGCAACTTCGGCTGCGTTTAACAGTACTTCAGCCAGTGTATTGCATAGGTCGGAATTTTACAATGAATGAATGAATGAATTAAGAGCAAGAATTTTATGTGAATGAATGAAAGAAATTAAGAAAAAGAACAAAAGAAAAAGAACATATGTGAATGAATGAAAGAATAAATGATACACCACGGCCATCCCTCCCCAAACATGTTAAAGAACGCAAAACTATCGGTAGAACACATGTGTTAACATCAGCTGTCCTTTTTATAAAAAATCTACTTTGAGACATTTTTTACATTAGTAACTAATTCAGATATCTTATTGCATGTGTGGAATGACATGGGCATTGACAGAATGTTAACTGACACTGTCACAGGCCCCTCAAGAACAGAAAGTTTAGAACTATCACAAAGCCTTGCAAACACCTTTCCAGTTTTGTCAAATACTAAGATCAACAAGAAAGAAAGAAGTTTTAGAACTATAACACTCAAGCATCACAAGCACCAATGGCGTATCAGAACAGATCGGCGATATGTCATATTTTTCACACACCTCAAATACACACTAACAAAAAATAAAATAAAACTATCACTATTACTTGCAAAAAACTTTCACCTGATGGTATATTCCCATCATAAAATTTAAGGTGTATGTGAAAGATGTTTTAGAACAATAACTAGAAACACTCAAACAACGCCCTGTAGTATTTCAATGGCAGATCGGCGATATGTCATATTTTTCACACACCTCAAATACACACTAACAATTTTTTTTAAATTATAAAACTATTACTATTACTTGCAAACACCTTTCACCTGATGGTATATTCCCTCATAAAATTGAAGGTGTATGTGAAAGATGTTTTTGAACACTAACTAGAAACACTCAAACAACGCCCTGTAGTATTTCAATGGCAGATCGGCGATATGTCATATTTTTACACACCTCAAATACACACTAACAATTTTTTTTAGATTATAAAACTATTACTATTACTTGCAAACACCTTTCACCTGATGGTATATTCCCCTCATAAAAATTGAAGGTGTATGTGAAAGATGTTTTTGAACACTAACTAGAAACACTCAAACAACGCCCTGTAGTATTTCAATGGCAGATCGGCGATATGTCATATTTTTCAAATACACCTCAAATACACCCTAACAATTTTTTTTTACTTATAAAAATATCACTATTACTTGCAAACACCTTTTAACTAAAGGTATATTTCCCTTCTAAAAATTAAACGAATATGTGAAAGAAGTTTTTAGCGATATAATTTAGTCTTTCTTCGCTGTGTACTGAGAATTGAAGCCAGTGAGCTACCACATGCCCACTTGAAACTTTACTACAAAGCTACTGTACTTATACTGACACTAATAACAAGTATTTGACTTAAAATGAAGTGACAGAATAGGTAACATATCTTCTACGTGTAGGTTTTCAGTTGTCACAACACTCAGCGTATGTAATCAGCTGTTGAAAATAAACCGGGCTCAATCTTAAAAACTACGCTGCCGCCATATTGGCTGCACTGGTCACGTGACGAGCCGAGGCATAGCTTGGGAGCTTTCCGAGGAGTGACCACTCCCCCATATAGAGTCTCCCTGGTTAGAACAACTGATCCATAACTGGGGACGGGACACGTCCGGCAGGTCAACTCGCCCAAACGTGAAAAATGGCGACACCTCTCATTTCTCCGCAATGGCTGGCAAAACAAATCGAAAAGCGCGATCCAGAGTTGAGGATATTTGACACAACTATTACAATCAATGGTTTAGGTGATGAAGACTTCAAAAGGTAGGGTCAATGTATAAACATTTGTAAAAGATCTTTGTATTTCAGAGGTAAATCCTGCGTGGGCTACTGACTACAACCCAGGACAGGCGAGAACCAGACGGGTCAACCAAATTGTTTGCTAATCATGACTTAATTTTATTACATGCAACATGCACTCATGATAATAGAATATAAATAGTGTACAATCACAAACCACAAACTTCATCATAATAACGCTATTCTGTGTAGATCGCTTAAAATGCTCTGTATGAATGTCACTGAGGCAGTTCGTTATTTACGCAGTGGAATTACTAAAATAATTTGTGAACGTGAAACGTAAAAAAACGTGCTTAACTAAATGGTAACAAAACAACGTTCTTGCCACTCCGACCACCAAACTAAATATGATACTTGCCACTCCGACCACCAAACTAAATATGATACTTTTCTAAACTACATGAACAAAATTGGCTATCTGATAAGTTACACAACTATAATTCTAAATTGTTTAGTATCTATACTGTGCCCGAATATGGCAAACTATTTGTGTAATCTAACGACCAGAGTCTCACTGATCAAAATAATATCCCTGCACATGCAGAAAGTGACTGCACGAGGCGTTACGGTTGCGTTTTGATGCAACGTTCATGGTTCTTGTAAAGATGTGTTTTGGCTATCAGATAACACTGACTGACTGACGGAGTTTGGTTTTACGCCGCTTTTAGCAATATTCCAGCAACATCACGGCGGGGGACACCAGAAATGGGCTTCACACATTGTGCCCATGTGGGGATTCGAATATCAGATAACAAAAACCAAAGAAACAAAATGTCTCTCCAGAACACACGTGTAACAGAGGAATCGTCAAACGAAAGAAAAGCTTCAGTAGAAGTTCTTCAATTTGTTTTCTTTCAATTTGCCATTTGAAAGGCCTTTACATTCATATGCCACTTTAGAAGGTCATCGTTCCTCACATTAAAGCATGCCCACTTTTCCCCACTCTGATAACATTACCTCCGTCACAATTATTTGGTCCGTGTCCATGGACGTTCAGGTAGTATGATCAGTATTTCACTTGTATTATAGCTTGACCTTAAGATGGGGTTTCAAGCGTTACCTAACTGTTACCCCTAAGTGACAAGCCACCTTACAACGAAATCACCACCCTCCCTAGTCTGTCTCACAGTCCCTGAACCACATTAATTTCCCTACTGCCAAGCCCTCTCTGCAGTGCTAAAGCCCTAAATAAAGCAAGTCTAGATTTCCTCAGGTTCAGCACGTGTAGCCCCAATGCAGATGTTCTTAGTCTCTGAATCTCTGGTCTCCCTAGGGCTCCTTTTCAATATAAATGGGCTTGTTTGTTACTATCACAATTATATATATTCAGAGACTAAGCCTTAGTCTACACCCTCCCCTGTACAGTGAAACATTGTTAATCAGGGCAGTGAAAGGCCACCAGTGACCAATCACCCCCATCGTTACGTCAAATGCCTTAAAGAGATTAAGTCTCGGCCATTTGGCCATCTGAACTGAACTGAACTATATTTCAACTCAGGCCGCATACTCGGCATATGAGGTTACATCTGTGTTACAAATATATACCACGCGAGTGTGTTTGGGGATGGTTTATATCCTGCATTAGGAATAATCATTGTATTTAGCGAGCCTTGGATAGCTGAATACATAGTGTTTATTCCTAATGCAGGATATTAACCATCCCAAAACACACGAGTGTGATAACCTATTTATCATATAATGTGATTTTTGCTTTATAATTTAAACAATTGCTATTTCAAATGCCACAAATCATGAAACTAAACTTCGTGAAATGTATATGACGTAAATTTTGTTAATTTCGAGAATACTGGGCGTAAAGTCTCTCATGTAGAACATCATCTCCCTTTCCCCGGGACTGTCGACAAGTAACTTGAACGGATTATTTCTTGTTGTCGACAGTCCGGGTATAAACCCTCCGATGACTGCGTTAGGTCATCTAGTTCCCAATAAGTTTTTATGCTAAAGCACGTATTGTTGTCAACAAATCTTAGCTTACGTTTGAAAAATAACAACAAACTCGCGTGGAACTTCAGAAACCTTCAATTAACCTTTTGAACAACAAAATACGATTTAATCTTCGCGTGACATTGTGCACCTGGATTCCTATGCCGTTCTCTCGCTAACACTGGCAGTCGGTCGGGGAACTGATGTTGGTATCTTCGTAAGCCTATGAATTTCTATCTTCGCTTTGTAATCTACTCCATCTATCATAACCAGGCATGAATTTTCTGGGATCAAAGCACTGACTGTACCGTAACCACGGCCGTCAATCCGGACACGACCGCCGACCCTAATTTGCATCGATATCCGTATATGACCCCAACGGATACCGAAAATATCCATTGGCTTTATCCTGCCGAGAACACTATTCATTGTATGATAAATATACATATCCATAAAGGTATGTACAATATCTATACAGATGAATAAACAATACATTAATTAATATATATATATACACACGCACACATACATATATACACCTACATACACACACATACACACATGTACATATATGCAAATAGATTTAATTACGAATAAAGTGAATATATAATTCATATATCTTCATGTAGGAATATTTAGATTGAGTATTCTTACCGACGATTCTTAAAAACATTTATAATAATACTACAGAATAAAGCGAGTTTTCTAAGAACACCTACCTTATTGCTATTGAATACTGTATACATTTTATGAAAATTTAGTCTTGTATAAAAATAGGGCTTTAAATATTAAACTCTTCCATTTATAAAGTCAGAACAACTAAATAAATAATGAAAATCATCGCCAATGTCCTTACCATTAAAAAATTTATATAATCTATTACGTTTTTGAATATTGCTCCAACGGCCTGTTTCAGTGGGTAAGTTATGGTTTGCAGTTTTCTTACGTAACACTGCCCTTGAACACTTATCATTTAAAATATCCACAAATATTTACTTAACCTTAAATCTAAGTTTGATAAGGGGCTATATAAGATACCTTTTGATGAATGTTCTACCGTAGATAGCCACACTTGCTTATACGCATCTTCTAGTTTACATTTGGGGAATTCCAGATATACTAGTAACTAAAGCCAATTTCGTCAAGCGTATGTTTAATATTCATTATCCATTTATGCTTACTTTTTCCAAAATGCGTGTCGTTAAAAAGTAATTTCAAGACAAGTAAGGATAATTTGGAAGATTTATACTTGTTAAAAGTCGACCCCAAAACGAAATAATTCTCAATTTCACATCAATTGTAAGTGGGTATCTACCAAACTCCCCATACAACATAAAGTTTGGGTGCTTTTTCTTAACAGTGCTAATTGTTTAAGAAAGTTTAAATGTTCTTTTTCCAATAATGATGTATTTTCAAATCCCCAAACCTCACAACCATATAGAAGAATCGGCAACACCATGGAATCAAATAGACGTAATTGTAATTCGTATGCTAGATGCAGTTTCCGATCTTTGCTAAGAATAAAATACATTGCTTTCGTGGCTTTTTCAACAGCTGTTTCTTTTATTAATGTTAATCCTCTGCTTTTTTTGGAAAACTACGCCTAAATATGTGTATTTTTTAACATTGACCAGAACGTTATATCCAATTTTAAATGGGATTTTGTATTCTTTCTTTGAACCGCCAAATATAAAAACTTTTGTTTGAGCAATATTGACATTTAGTTTCCATGTATAACAATAGGCATGAAAAGAATCCAACATTTGCTGAAGATCGTTGGGGTTTGAAGCCAAGAGAACTGCATCATCTGCATATAATAATACAAACATTTTGATGATATCTTCTAACCTATCATTAAAATCTTCAGGTTTAAGCGCCACACTTTTACAGAAATTTTTATCAAAAGACATTTCAATATCAATATAGAACAAACTTTATGGATAACAACTTTTTTTATTCGTGAGTGCACTCACGAATAAAAAGAAGTTGTTATCCATAAAGTTTGTTCTATATTGTACTTCCCAACTTCTAAAATGCCACTCAAAGAAGTTATTTCAATATCAGTCATAAAAATAGCAAATAATGTGGGTGATAAATTCTCTCCTTGGCGTACGCCAGATCGACAGGGAAAGAATTCCGTAAAACCATCTTTACATAATATACAAGATTTTATATTCCTATACATGTTGTGTATAAGTCGGAAACATTTACCAGACCGAAAAAGTTTGCCAAAGCAGCTTAATAGAGTAGTTGGGCGGTAATTTTCTGGATTTCTTGGATTTCCTTTCCTTTTATATATTGGTTTCATAACGCCTGTTAACCAGCTCTCAGGGAATGTACCACAATCAAATAAAATATTAAAAAATTTAACATAAATATCAATAAAAGTGTCTACTGTGGATGTAATATACTCATTGATGATACCATCAAGCCCAGGGGCTTTATTATTTTTAAGTTTTTTAACTGCACTGTATATCTCCTCGCTGGTAATAGAGGAGTTCAGCATTATGCTTTCTCCAACATCAATGTTTTGGAAATTGAGAGACCTACACTCCTTGTTGTCAGAGCATTCATTTAAATTTTTGAAAAAGTCAAACAAGGATTCCGTTTCCAGTAAGATTTCAGTTTCCTGGTCGTCCTTTTGTCTTAACCGCGAGTCTTGTATCAAGACCAAATTAAGTTTCCACTTATTGTTGATTGTTTGTAGGGAATGTCGTACTGATGTAGTGATAGCTTGGGGAGGGGGAGAAATAGCATAGGAATACGTGGGTTTTGTCTTGTTATTTTCGGGAGTAGGTATAAGGGGTGGACGTAAACAAAAGTTAACTGTATTAGGATTTAGGTAGGGAGGAAGGGGGAGAAATACGTAGGATTGTTTGTTCTGAATATTTGACAAGATCTCACAAGCTCATACATTTATTTTTTTCCAATAAACAAAAATGGAAACATAATACTCTTTTGTTGCGACTTTAATTGAGTTAAGTTGGGAAAACCTGTCAGGAATCACTCACACAGAACCT